CAGCGCTGTAGTAATTTTTGAGATCTCTTAATTTGAAAAATGGTACACATGATTTTAAGAATATATAAGAAAGGTCCCTATTGTTTTTAAGTTACGTAGACTATCGAGTTCGGTATTCAGATGTATCGCATTTTATATTTGATTTTGTGACAATGGAAACTTTCCCTAAACATTTCTAAATTGTTCTCAAATATTTGAATAACTTAAAAGTACTGCCTTTTTTTGAGGCCGGAAAAAAATTGTCTGAGATCGAGATCGATCGAGAGTCCATAATTTCAAACAGTTTCAAGATTGGGCCACTAGATCAAAAGTTACAGCCCTTTGAATTTTTTTTCGAAATTTGTTTTTTGTCCATAACTTTTTATTGAGAGGTCTAATCGAAAACGTACGAATTGTTTTGGATTCTACGCACCAAAATTAATAAGAAAAAGTGTTTCTCCGAGAAATTTTGGTGCAGTGGATTTTTGGTAAAAAAGGAAGGTTATACACTGCCTTTTTTTGAGGCCCGCAAGAAAATTGTCTCAGATCGACCCGGAAAAAATTTTTCTTATAGAATGTGGCCTGTAGAATCCATAATTTCAAACAGTTCCAAGATTGGGCTACTAGTTCAAAAGTTACAGCCCTTTGAATTTTCTTTCGAAATTGGTTTCTAGTCTATAACTTTTGATTGAGAAGTCTGATCGAAAAAGTACGAATTGTTTTGGATTCTACGCACCAAAATTAATAAGAAAAAGTGTTTTCCCGAGAAATTTTGGTGCAGTCGATTTTTGGTAAAAAAGGAAGGTTATACACTGCCTTTTTTTGAGGCCCGAAAAAAAAATTGTCTCAGATCGACCCGGAAAAAAATTTTCTTATAGAATGTGGCCTGTAGAATCCATAATTTCAAACAGTTCCAAGATTGGGCTACTAGTTCAAAAGTTACAGCCCTTTGAATTTTCTTTCGAAATTGGTTTCTAGTCTATAACTTTTGATTGAGAAGTCTGATCGAAAAAGTACGAATTGTTTTGGATTCTACGCACCAAAATTAATAAGAAAAAGTGTTTTCCCGAGAAATTTTGGTGCAGTCGATTTTTGGTAAAAAAGGAAGGTTATACACTGCCTTTTTTTGAGCCCCGAAAAAAAAATTGTCTCAGATCGATCCGGAAAAAAAATTTTCTTATAGAATGTGGCCTGTAGAATCCATAATTTCAAACAGTTCCAAGATTGGGCTACTAGTTCAAAAGTTACAGCCCTTTGAATTTTCTTTCGAAATTGGTTTCTAGTCTATAACTTTTGATTGAGAAGTCTGATCGAAAAAGTACGAATTGTTTTGGATTCTACGCACCAAAATTAATAAGAAAAAGTGTTTTCCCGAGAAATTTTGGAGTAGTCGATTTTTGGTAAAAAAAAAAGGAAGGTTAAGTATTCAAATACTATGCGAAGTATTCGAATACTTCTCAAAGTATTCAAATACCTTGCGAAGTATTCGAATACTAAATATTTGTGAAAGTATTTGAGTTACAAATACAAATACTGCTTCCATAAAAGTATTTAATTACAAAGTATTTGAATACTTTAAAGGATTTGAATACTAAAAAGTATTTACAAAATCGAATATTGCTCCGCTCTGCGTGAACCTCAGATTCCCTTTTGTTTTTTATGCACACATTATCAAACAGCAAAAATGAACCAAAGTACAATGCATACGTTATTGCTTTTGCTATTGCTTTCAGTAAAGCTCTTTAATGTTGTGAGTAAATAAAACGGTGACATGGCATAGCACAGGACTTTATACTTGCTTTAACGACTTTTAAGCGTTTTGTAACGTAAATTGATTTATAACAGTTGGAATATTATTTATCACTCACAAATGCACAATTTATAATAGCGAGAACTATTTATTACTTCAGCGTTGAAATTGGAACTGAACTGAAATGCAATTCGATTTGCTTATATAGCAAACTCCAGTGTCCTCGAGTGCTCCCGAATGTTCTAGAAATAGAACAAAACACGTCATATTTCCCGGAAAGATTACATCATATCCGCCTTCGTTCTTTATGGCTGATGACTAATCTTTCATGGTGCCTCGATTCGATGTCTATCGGGATTCGCTCACTATTCCATAATTGGTACAATTGCTGCAATCTCTAGACAACACAAAGTAAAAAAATCTAAACAATTCATACCTAAGCCCCCCTCCCCCTCTAAAATTCACTCGCTCGTATCCATTACGTGGATCCTTCAAATGTTTACCTAAAGAGGGCGACTAGATTTGAATGCTATTTTTAATGAAATTGAGCACGTATAAAAGAAATGTCTTCGCCTTCTTTAAAGGATGATAGTGTAGATTTATTATAAATAAGAATATTTAAACAATTCCTAAGGAAATGATTTTGTTATAAATAAGAAAATTTCTACCTAAGCAACTCAAAAATTTTTGAGTTTGTGCCCATTACGTTTACCTAAGGAGAGCGACACATTTGAATACATACCATTTTCTAATGAAATTTAGCATATTTTAATAAAAATTATTCGAGTTCCTTAAGGGGGGGATTTATTATAAATCAGAAAATAAAAAAAGTTTTTACCTAAGCACCCCTAGCATTATCTTCTTTGAATGTAGTAGGTACAGGAACTGTCGCTTGAAAAAAATTATTCATAAAATTTGGCGATTGTTATTGGTTCCTCAGAACAGGAAACAAAGCCCCCAAAAATCCCTGCTATGGACAATTTACAGGACCCAATCGAAAAATGACAGTTTTCGTTAAAGTTTGAAAAATTAAATAAACGGATTATATCTAACTTCTCCATGTAATTTAATAATAGTTGTCCATAATCTTATAAAAACACGACTAGTTTCGACGTATCCGCCATCTTAAGGTAAAAAATAAAAGGGTTAGTTGTAGTTAACAATAATTCAGGTAGTAGAGTAATTTTAAAGTTGAAAATCCTTGTTTTGTCGAAAAGAATAAAGGCAGGACGGAGTTTTTTATGTTTTTAATAGACTTTTATTAAATCCCAATTAAGGGCAGGTTGGTTGGAACCACACGATTAATGTAGAAACATTACTGCACACGAGGATCCTTTGGGGTTGTTTAAACGGGTTAAAAAATGAGTTACATTTCACAAATCTTAGGTAATACGGTGAAGCCGGAATCTAAAAAATTTAATTACAAATTATATAACAATAAATAGCAAGAAATTACTGGAGATCCATGAGGAAGAGCAAAGTTGAATTGGTTGAATAAAAAATTAATTGAAGAACCTTAGCACGTGGAAGACGTGAAAATTTAGCTTAAGACGTCGAGGTAATTGGCAAAGGAAACTGTAAAACAAAAATTTTATACACGTGGTGGTGCAAGAACAAGAAATTATTGTAAAAATAAGAAGTTTTGATTGAAGCCTAGAATTTCGTTAAGTGTTTTTCCCGAGATTAATTTTGATTGGGTAACAATTTCCCGTATTTCTAGAAAATTAAGCTTTTGACTTTTGTCACAAAAATGTAAAACTTCAAAATCTGATGTAGGGTTATAAGAATGACCTAAACACCCCTAAAATTATCTTCTTCCTGTCCATATTACTTTTATCTAAGGAAAACGACTACGTTTGAATACCTACTATTTAATGGAATTGCGCACACCTGAAAGAAATGTATTCGCGTTGTACTTTAAAATGTGAATATCTCTGAAACCCTGTCTCTCAAATGTTCATTAAATTTAAAAGTAGAAGGCGAAATATAGTCAAATAACCTGGAACAGAACTCCGCTAAGTATAGCTTTGGCACGAACAATGAGGGATGCTTCCACCCACTCCCTAATGTAATTTTGGGTACCTATCTGAAAACCGTGCTGATATAACTTGTTCATCAACTTTTTGGAATTTTAATGAAATGTATAGCATCTAGCTTTTGAGTATTTGAAAAACCATATTGTTAGGTACCTCCCGAGCACCTCGAAAGGCCAAGTTAAGCTTTGAGTCGAGCTTCCGAGAAAAATACTTTGAAAAACAAGAGGAGGAGTCAGACACAAATCAACTTCCTTGCAAGGCAGCAGTGTACAACCACTCCTATACCTAAAGAGCGTCGACTTTCAACAAACAACCCCACATAGAAAATCCAAACGACCGACGTCTCTAAATAGCAAATACTATAAGGACGCCATTTTAATAGATCAACTAGTGTTTTTCCAAGAAGTTGCACGGACAAAATTTCATTGCAATATATTTCTTTTAAGGCGAAACTGCGCTCTAAATGTACCTATTCCTCTGGGGGTTAGAATTGGATATGAAGCTTTCGCCGTATGACTTAAACTCTTTTTGATGTGAATTTTAAAGCGTCTTTTGATTATTCAACATTCAGCAATTTCTCTTCCCATTCATACCTACAAAATGTGTATAAAATTGTGCCATATTCGGTTGTCAAAAATTGAAATCAATAAATCATAAACGAGAAACCTAAAATCGTATAGCGGCATCCTCCCATTTAGCTGACGTTAGACGCAACACTAATTCGTTTTAGTCATTTGACGTAGGTAATTAATTGGCATACCTTTGTAATGTAAACTGTTTGAGTTAAGCTTAAGTTAATTGTTACGGAATGGATTAAATCAATCTTTCTACTAATTTGCGAAGCGCTTCTATGAATGCAGCAGCTACCACATGCCTATAAATCATATTATTATATGCGAAACTCCGGCACCTATTTAATATAACATGTAAGAAGTTAATGGAACAAGTTTATCATAAAGGAAACTTTGTTTATGTTATTAAACCTAAATGTAGAAGGGCATTTTGTTATAGTTTGAATGTTGAATTGAAGCTTCCCTGTAAGGTAAATCACTTCCCCTTCTTCTGCCCAAATTCTCAATACACTGTGGAGTTTCAAAGCTTATGCACGACATACATGGAATTGTAATTAAAATCACATTATGGAATAATTTTGCGACAGTATATGCGTGTTAAACTTCCCCTAGATTACATACCGATACATAAACTAACAGAGAATTAAAAAATCTTAACGTTACCTTTTTAAAATCATTATCACCTATTTTCATACTTCTCGTTCAGAAGTTTTCGATGGCGTTTCGTGAAAAAGATCCTGTGCATTTTCGGCTGGCGATGATTTACTTTTCAACCAAATCAAACGGTCTTTTAAATGTACGGTGTTTGTGGAGCTTAATCAATATACCAGTCTAGGGCTTGCACTTTTCAGTTAAAACAGTAAGTTCCCCGCGCAATTTTCAACCTTTTCCTTTTTCCAGGTACCAAACCAACTTAATGTAATTGCGATGTAGCGGGCTATTTACGTTTTTAATGAGTTTATTAGAGATTTTAATCCGATTTTGATGGAAGCAACAAGAAAATGTCGGCACCACGTAAACAGCAACGAAATTGAATAAACACTCCCGATAGTCGGCTACAGAACACTTATCTTGAGCTAACGAACCAAATTAACACTTATGACATTGTAATCAACCCCTAATTATTTGTTAATTAAGTAAAATGTGTTTAAAACGGCTTGATTTAAATTTAGAAACGACCCCGACTCTTACGCGCTCGGCCCCCTCCCAGTTCGAGCTTTTCCGAACTTTTCCGAGCTTTTCCAACACCCTTATTAGCTGCCAAGGGATGCGCCATTCTCTTTCATCTTATTCCTTATCCAATACTTCATTTCCAATTCAAGTTTAAAGTTGCACCGTGCGAATAAGCGAATTAGGGGTGCATATTCTCAAAGCCGTTAATGATCAACTTTTATAGCCGCATCAGAGCTTTCTGTCACGCAGACGAGCTTTTTTCGTAATTAGAAACGTTGAAATTGAAGTATTGATTCGCAAAATTTGAATTCCGTTATAAGTCTGTGTCTTCCTCTTTCTTTAATTGGGGTGAATTCGTTGTTTCCTGCAGGCTGCCAGACAAATTCAAAAGTGGGAAAACAACAGAAACTTTGCAAGCCATGCAGAAGAGTTCGAGTGGTTGTCTATGGTATAAGGGGCTGAAAATTTCACAGTATCAAATTGCTGTTGTTTCTTTGATTATTATAATATATCATCTCTGCCATTGAATAAGTTACCAATTGTAATACAATCAAGCCAATTATTTTGAGGATTGGCAAAAATTACATATATTTCTTATGTTGCCTACCCTACCACTTGCTTTTGTTCATGAAGCTTTTACAACGTATTCCAAAAGTTCTACTTTGAAAATGCTGAACTGATTAAATGGAAGGTAATAGCAGTTTACAAAATTAGCATCTAAGGTGAATGTTTGCTGTAGGACATGTTTTTGTTGGGGGTGCATTACGTACTTCGTTCCCGATGTCTCCAGGAGCTGAGTTTTTAAACTTAGGACCATTCTTTAAGGTATTGACGACACGCTCAGCAATAGTACGACTAACAAACGTGCTTTAGAATGCACATCATGTGAATATGCTAACACTAAGAACATGCTCTGACGATATATAATCAAAAGTGCAAAAGGGGTGCTTTTAGTGATTCTCCAGGATCAACTATAAAAGGTTTTCAGGCAAGTTTTCAACTTGAAGAAGGAAGTAGCCCAGTTTTTCATCGTGCGTACGATGTACAAATTTTTCAGAGAAAAAAATTGAAAAAGAGTTATCAGAAAAGGTCAAATCAGGTATACCTGAAAAAGCTAAGTATAGTTAGTGGGCCACTCCCAATGTTGTTGTCTCTAAAAAGGAAAAAAGGGAAATAAGAATTTGCGTTGTTTACGAAAACTGTAAATTGTGTATTAAATTGTGATCATTATACGTTACCAACGCCAACCCCTGAAGATAGTTTTGCCTCTTTAGGGAGTAGCCGTTAATGATCTAAAGGCAGCTTATCAACTGTTGGAAGTAGATCTACAATCGAGTCCATTACTTACCGTTACCATTAATACGCATAAAGGACTCTTTAGGTTTAAACGACTGCTAAAGATATGGTATTAGTTCTGCTCCAGCTATAATATTTTCTGCTGCCATGTCTACTATTTTGTCAGGATTAGCTACCATGCAGGGATTATACCTAGATGATATTCTTGTTCTCTTGGTTCTTTACAGTGTGAAAACGTTATAAAAGTGTTAAGTCGTTTACAAGAATATAATGTAAAAGCCTAAAAGCAAATTAAGTTCCAGTTCTTTAAAAACCAGGTTGATATTTAGGTCATCGCATTGATGAAATGGAATACCTACATCTTTTACCGGATAAAATACAATGTAGGTACCTTCAGTACCTATAAAGAAGTGTCCAGTACCTCAAAATATTACACAACTGAAGGCATATCAGGTCCGCTCAATTATTATGGCAAATTTTGCCCTTTTTGTCCACAGTGTTAAAATGTCTGTACGATTTATGTAAAAAGATGTTGATTTTAACCCTTCTTATCCTTTATATTTAACTTGTGACGCTAGTGCTATGGTGTAAGCGCAGTCCTCAGTCATAGAACCGACAATGTACAGCACCAATTTGGAAATGCGACAGTATTTTCTACGTGGGCAATTAAAGATTTTATTTCCATCTATTATGATAATGCGTTTCTTTTAAAAAATAGATTCCGCGATTTTCAGAAAAAAAGCAAAACGCTAACGTCAAGATAGGCAACTTAAATAGCACTTAAAACTCCTAAGGCGATATCTCATTACTTGAAAGAGAAAACAAAATAAACTACCTGGCATTATCCTACACATTGTTACCCCGTTCCTAATGGCATACATTACTTATTACTAGGTGCTAATAAATGTCTGTAAATTTTTTCCTTTACAAAAGCGTACATACAATAATTATTCTTGAGCTCGTTTGAATTAAAAAATTTTCAGCTTTTTGCGAGTTCCAGTAATACCGGAATTTGGCTCACCCATCGTTATTTCAAATTAAATACCTACCCATAAATTTTTTTTATCATTTTTTTAAATTTTCGAAAATTTTGTAGTAAATGAAGGACCACAAGCCAAACCGCAGTATTCTAATTATTTGCGTTTTTTCGAAATTTTTGGGAAATATACCTACTCATTCACAGAATAATATTGCCTTTTATAAGGAAAGAGAGACGTACCTAGTAAGTTTACATAAAGAATTGAAGTTTTCTGAAATGTAAAAACTGATGGCTGTTTAAAAAATGCGCTAGGTTTCTTTTTTTAATGAAAACCATTTTTTCCTATATCTAAATTAAAGAAATTTTGCAGAAAGAAGAGCTAGGCGAAAATGTATGCAACTATTTCTTAGTGTCGCATCCATTGTTATGAAGAGAAAAAGAAGGTTTTCATTAAAAAATTACGTTTTCTCAATTTCACATCTGGAAAATTAGCATGAATTCCTGAGCACACTGTCTAAATTTTCTAACAATGCATTACGCAAATATCAATGTAACAATTATTGTCACATATTTGCGTAATGGCTTACCGACACAAATCTTGAAAAGGATTGGCTTATCTTGTCTGCTTTCTAAAAGGCAATTTATTTACGGAAAGTGTTTATTTAAAAAAATTCAAATAATTTCAAAACCGGATGATTTGTTACTGAAACTTGAAACTTTGACATATGCCTGGCGTCGCCGCCTCTCCCAGGATTTAGTCAACTGTCGTGGGCCATTGAAATTAAAATTATCCCCAATTTGACGTACATTGAAAAAATGAATACAAATTACGAGATTAGTAAAGTGCCAGGCTAGTCAGACTAAAAGTCGTATACAACAAAAGTGGATGAAATTCCACTAGATAGGTACCTATACACGCTGGTGTTATAGCATATCATACATTAAAAGATGTAGAGAGTACCTATACTCTTTTAGATTGGCCAAATTATTTGAGTTGTATTGCATTAAAGCCATTCTTTAAAGTTAGACATGATTTATCTGTTGATCAAAACTGTCTTTCCACAAGATTTAAGATTACATGTTCTAAATTTATTTCATAAATATATTGGAGTGGTTAGGTCTAAAATGTTATTGTCATATTGTTGGTGGCTATGCATTAATGAGGATTTGGAACAATTTATCAGTAAATGTGAGATTTGACAACTTAATCAGAAGTGCATTAAATCATCATTGGTTTCCTGGTCTCCATCGATTAATAATTTTCCAAGAGTTCATATATACAGTAGTATTCATGTATAGAAGTAGACTTAGGGCTTTCCTATGTCTACTTTTACATGACAAAAAGTCTCCTGAAAGACGCCTAATTTTATGCAACCAAAGTAACTACCTACAACAAAATGAAGATCTGCCTGTCATATTAATTAATTTGAATATTATCGCTTTGACTTCCCTATTCTAATTTTGGTTCGTGTGCGATGTATTCAACTAAAGAAAAAGTTGATATTTCCAATTGGTATAGTGACGATAACAGTTAAAGGAGCTTAAGGGATTTATTTTCTGTGAAGCTAAAGCAACAATATCCAAATTAATAATTAATATGACAGCCAGGATAGTTATAAATTCAATGGCCAGATCTTTATTTGTTTCAAGAAGTTATTTTGGTTGCATAAAATTAGGCGTCTTTCAGGAGACTTTTTATCATGTACACATAGGAAATTCCTATAGGAAATCCCTATGTCTACTCTTCTACAAGAATATCACTGTAGATTTCATTTATAAACTTGGTTATACTTTTCTAAATTTTCGTGGATTCAAAATCCAAATGGTTTGAAGTAAATCTGATGCATGAAGGTACCTACTTCAGCTAAAGAAACTCTGTTAAAGTTAATAGAAGTGTTTAGTGTTTCCGGATTTCCAGTAGGTATCACTTGTCTCAGATAATGGTCCTCCATTCGCTTCTAGTGAGTTTATATCCTTTTGTCATGCAAATGGAATCAATTGTTATCCATCCGTAAAAGAGTTTGTGCAAAACCTATTTCTAATCTAGTAGGTACGTTATATCAGAAAGTGTTTTAGTTAAAAGCAAGCATTCTCAAGTACTATGGAAGAAAGGAAAAATCATAAAAAAATTGAGTTTTCGCACATAGTATTGTTAATGGGGATGTAAAAATCTTTAAGGCGGATAACATTTGCCCAAGTACCTACGTTACAATCTGTTTTCGTTACTCAATGGTTACAATCTAAACTCCCACCTTCTCCGCCAATTGAGCACACCCCGGCCTAAGTTTTTATACCCTGGCCTACATTTAGCTCGGCGAAGTGGATTTTTTGAAAACTCATTGCGATTTCAAGATCTTAAGAAGGAATGCAAAATAATATTTGCCTTTTGTGCCGCAGTTATGTAAATAAATTATATATCACGTTAGATATGAACATTTTCGAAAAAGAAATCACTCATAATTTGCGGCCACAGGCGTACTTGACTAACGCTCAACTTCATACACGTGTGCGATAATATGTAGGAATTTTCATTCTTTAAGACATTTAATATAGGGAGAAATACGAAATCGAAATTTAAGCAATTGTTGATCAGTTAGGTATGATCAAAAATGTTTTTTTTTATATTTAGGTACTCGACGCCGCGTACGAAGTCAAAATGCGGTAAAGAGACTGGCAGTATTAAATTAACTGCTACGTTAACAGACCAAAAAGGCTAAAAATTGATTTAAAGAACCAAATCTACTTAATTTTTTTGAATTTTGATGATTCATTTTCTGAAGGAAGATAGGTACCTATTGCCTATCAATAGATATACCTATACTTCATTTTTTGATCAAATTTGTTCAGGTGTTTCTGTGAAGCATATACCTTTCCAAATTCAAAAAAAACAAAAAACTTACCTTTATCGTTTTTAGCTCGATTTCTTTTCTTTTCGGGAACGATGAACGGAACACTACAATCAACCAAAGCGCGCAACTCGAAATGAGAGCGTTTACCTGTAGGTGATAAATCATGGGTCGTAAAGGTCAGCCTCGCGTTATCACAAACTGGTAAGAGAAAGTTGCTAAATATAATTTTATTGTCGAATAAGTGGCCAGTGACGTGTAATAACAATTGTTATATTTATTCTTTATGTTTATTTCATCGCAATGGTGCACCAATACTTTTTGTTTCTGTGCGCTTAAAAAGGGACATTTTTATAAATGCACGTTCAAATGTAACCCCTGCACTAATGGCGACGGTGTTATTTTGCTTTTTTGTTTGATAGATTATTTATAATAATGTGTATAGGTATACCAAAAGAGTTCACTCAACCAGATCCACATCCATAATGATGTGCCCACTAGTCCCGGCATAAGTAAACAGTTCTAAAATAATTTCTTTTCAAAAAATGAGTTCCCGAACCGAAGAGAGAAAAATAATTAAAACAACCGAATTTTCCACGGGCGAAATCCTGGGGCTTCAAAAGTGGTTTTTGCAATTTTTGTCAAAACTATTTATTTTAGTAAAAGTTGTAGGGAATAACAAAACGTATTTCGTATACAGTGATACTCATGCAGAAGTAGACGTAGGGATTTTCTATAGGAATTTCCTACGTCTACTTGTAAATAATAAAAATTCTCCTGATTAAGGACGTCTAACTTTATGCAACCAAAATAACTATACCTACAAAAAATTAAGATCTGCCTGTCATATATTTGAATATTATCGCTTTGACTTCCGTATTCGAATTTTCGTTCGTGCGCGATGTATTCAACTAATGAAAAAGTTGATAATTTACAATTGGTATAGTGCCGGTGACAGTTAAAGGAATTTAAGAGATTAATTTTCTATAAAGCCATAGCAACAATGTTCAAATTAGAATTAATATGACAGCCAGATCTTTATTTGTTTCAAGAAGTTATTTTGGTTGCATAAAATTAGGCGTCCTTCAGAAGACTTTTTATTATATGAAAGTAGACATAGAAAATCCCTATGTCTACTTCTATATGAATATCACTGTATACACTTTTTAACGCATTTTCCAACAAAATTGGGTGCGCTATTGCAGCCACTTTCTCTGTCCGTTCGTTCGTCCGAGGTCTTACCTACTCCTACAGTTTTCAATACATTTAGTTCGTTTTTTTTAAAATTCGGTAGCTTGTGTGGTGTCACACTATGCGTTTTTACCGCTCCCGCTAAAACGCTCCTGTTTGACGGGATGATTATCACACGTTATTAAATGGTATCTACCAGGCACATAAATGCGGTTTCGCCACACCAACAGGATGCAACCGCATCATATGCCGTCAAACCGCATCCGTTTTAGCAGAAGCGGTAAAAACGCATAGTGTGACACCACACTATAGCTCTCCTACCCGAGTCAAAAAATCTTGACGATTAATATGCGCATGCGCAATATCAACTGTCTCGCTTCCTCTTACCTGCTTGCTCGTTTTGTGCTCCCTTTGTTATCTAACTTATGAAGAAAAACAGCATGCAGCCTTCATTAACTTGTTTCGGCGCTTCAAAAGATCAGAATCAATGAGTTGGATCAGGTGTGTGGTAATAATAATAGTCAAAACCTTGTCGTTCTCAAGTGGTATAGGCGGAAGAGTGCCTAGACAGGGATAACAATAGTAAACTGCGCAAGTGCTAATTGGAGCTACTATACTGCAATACTTCTAATTAAGTTTCCTTTAATTTTAGAGCACTTGTCGCGAGTCCTTAGAAAACACTCCTATACAAACCAGAAAGCTTTGGAAAAGGATTAGAGCGTCATTAAAAGTGAAGAAAAAATTGTGAATTTTTCATGCCCAAGGTTCGAGAATATTTAATGGGAGAAACCTACCCACAGACAACATATACCTACCTATGTTGTATAATGTCTGTGCTATTACCTTTGTTTAATAAATAAAGCTAATATGCACAACCAACATTTAGCTTGGGACAGTAGATGTCATCCAATAAAACACAAATTTTAAAAGTTTACTTTAAGTTCTCACAACTTTACATCACAGACAAACTTATTAAACAATACAAACTATACCACAGTGGTTTCTCGAAAATTATCAGATCTTCGTACACTTGAGTATTGCTGCTCGGATTTAAAATTGGACAGACACCGATTTACGAATTTTCAATAAAATCTAAATTATACTATTTACAAGTATGCACTTATCACCTTTCTCCTAATCACTTTCACTGGGAATTGAATATTCGTCAAAATATTCCTCGTTTGAAATAGGGCTACCCGAATCTGCAAACGTACAATAAGATGGCTTATCTTAAAATTGATTAACTCACAAAATCGCATGCTGTCCATACAAATTTCAAAGCAATTATTGTAATCCCTGAGACTCCTCTTCGATTCTTCAAAAAGCTGATCCATTACGAGAACTTTCTTATGTACAATGGAAGGAATTTTTACTAGAGGAACATCAGTACTAAACCACTGCGTTTGCAATTTAAATTTCATAGGAGGCTCGATTACTTCAAACGTATTATCGGCAATATTCCACGTGAAAATACAATCCGCTATATAAATATTTCGCCTGCAGTAAGGTACCAAATCTTGAAGCGCAACTATTGTTATCACAGCTTTACAAACGATATGCCCATTTAATGGGCAAATCTGCGAGAATAACGTTAGAAATTCGCACATAACAGCCTCGTGCAACTTACATGAAGTATTTTGATGTCGTAATCTTCACAATGCAAAAATTCGAGTTTCGCATCGACACACAGCTGCTGAGCTCTACTCTGAACGAATTGATCACAGTCGAACGTGCGTTGGGTTATGATCAGTTGGGTTTCCGCAAGTTGATCGGCTTTAACTTCAGGAACAATGTCCAAATATTGTTCGGCAAGAGTTTGAACTAGAACTGGTATTTCGATCGAGACGTTGTAGTCGTCTATGCAAAAATAAAGAGAATTATCACCTTTATATTATCGGAAGTTGGCAGCACCTACACCATTATATCGTTTGTGTGGGCATTTATGATGTTTGTTTAGCATACAGGCTTAATAAACAGTATACCATTTCTCATAATAGAACTATTATTTAATTCCCACAGGTCTAGCACTCTAGCACCCTCACATCTGCATTCATACAAGTTGGGAGCACTCACTAGGGGGTATGGCCCAATATATACGAACATCTTATGACAATTGTGGGGAAATGGAATGAATCTTTCTTTAAAGGGGTTAATCCATATACCCCCCCAGACCCCTTGGTTCTACATTTTTCCACAGAGATCCTGTCTCTTTCCAGACCCCCTGGTTCTACATTCTTCCACAGAGATCCTGTCCCCCCTTGTACATTCTTCCTAAAAACGTTTACAGCCCTTAGCATTTGCATCAGAATGTTTGGAAATAGCCTGTACAGATGAACGTTTTGAGGAGGAACGTAGCAGCAGGGGGTCTGGGGGTTATAGAATATCCTCGAACATCTTATGACACTCGAATCTTGCCCTAAAGCATCTTTAATACTTGCGGTCACTAGGCTACCGCCTAATACATCATATGTATCATATTCAAACAAACGTCAGAAATGGCTAAATAACCCTAAACAAAAAACAAATGATTTATTCCTGTGGGGAAAATATGGTGTAGGTGGCGCCAAACACATGGACCTATATAGTGATACCGATATATCTGCTACAGCTACACAAACAATACAACATAAACACTTTGGAAGTTATTTTTATACAAATTTATGAACGTATTGAGTATTTTTCGTTTTGAGTTTCCACACAATATGTATAAAAACAACCTCTGTACATATAATTACCCCTACTTTGTCCCGATAAAAGTGAACTGTTTTCAAAATCGGCACTGGAGTACCTCTTCACGATCTTCTTAATCCATTTAACATTTTCAGTCCGTTTCGAATCGACGATTAATAAACCACTACTGAGCTGACTTTTAACGTCATTGTAATGTGAGGTAGATATATTATGCACAGGCCTTAGTATCAGTCGTGAATCTGAATCTGAACAATCGCTATCAGTACCTGGTGAGTAAATATTGAATTTTCTAGCGGTATCTTTAGGACTAATGGGAGACTTGGAATAGATAGGACAATTACGTATGATTGGCGAATAAATATTTCGTCCTCCGCCGGGCGAAAACTGACCGTGCCGCGAATTGGGAGATTGCATCGGGGACCTTATACTAGACGAACGTGGACTTAAGAATAGGGCGTTACTAAACTCCGGCGATTTAATGCAATAATTTTGTGACCGATAAATACACCGTCGTTCGCGCCTTAACGAATAAAATGGAACAATATTTTCGCTATTGTCCTCGGAGAACTCGTACTTTTTATCGGCAAGACGTTTCTTTCGGAATAGACTAAGTTTTTCGCATTTTTCGTTCTCTTCGGTAAATTCGTACGCTTTTTCGGCATTTTTTTTATCAACCTTCATTTTCTCGAGCGGTTTCTGTAATCCCGACGTCTGTGGCACTGAGAATAAACAGTCTTTGTTAGCATTTTGCAAATGCTTCAGTCTTGTATCTACAATATTTTGAACTAGGGCATTGTGATAATTTTTCCCGGTTACGTTTAAGGGTTCACAGCTAATGTTTAACTCGTGAAATGGTTTATTATGATCGTTACCTTCCAAATCATACTCGTTAAAGTCTTCTAAAATTGCATCGACTACGCTACTGGTATTAAGAAATTCGCTAGGGGATTCCGAGACTTCGCTAAGACAATCAATGTTGTTACTCGTGACAATATTAGAGGGAAACTTATTATCGTATTCTTTATACTGGGTAGGAAACTGTATTAGCGGCCTACTCGGTTCTAGGGTCGATATATTTAAAATATGAATGCAATGTCCTGTGTTTATAACTAAATGATCGGGGAATGCGAGGGAAATATGGGGGTTGAAGGAGGGCATCGGTTGGGACATCGTAAACATAAAATTCAGCATGAACCCGTGTTTCAAACACCATCCTTGCGTCAATTTTTCTAAAACAAAAAACATCAATTAGATCTACCTTATTTCGACAAATCTAATACAGGGTGTCCTGTTTGAGATACATTCCCACATTTATAAAAATCAATAAAATCCATTATTTTTATTATTATTATTATTTCAAAGGTTTACAGTCAAGAGTAAGGTGCTTTTCAAATCAAAAATATTATATGTATTTTGCTTTCGGTAGAAGGCATTCACAGATTTTTTTAAAAATTGACAAGTATTAAACATACAAAATGTAAACAATTAAAACAATAACAAATTTACTTCATAGTACTTCTTTTACAGAGTCAACAATGTTTACTGTTAACTGACAGTTAAAACAAGATGTAATTTTTTTGTACACAGAAAACCATAGTGTTCCGAAGTGACTAATTCAAGTAAAAACAACACCAGATAGCAACAATGTACTTTTTTTACTTACCTTTTGCAGTTTTCTCTGGAAGTTAAGTTCCTAGTTTTCAGAATAACCTTTTCTGTCGGAATTTGTCTCATTTTCTTAATTTTGTTCGCTGCTGTATTTTAATTTGTCATCATTTTAATTATTTATATTTCCTGATGTACAGGGTAGTTCAAATTCGTGGCTCACCATTGGGATCTCCGTAACAGAGAGGATAAATGGGGGCAAAGCTGTCCATTTTTGAGACTACAAAAACGCATTTCAAATTTTTGAAGATGTTTGATAACAGATTCTCCCAAAAAAAATGCTGACCCTTTAAGCTAGGGAAAATGACAACGAAATTTGACATTTTCACTTTTCCTTGTTATCTGTTACTTTCAAAAATTTTAAATGCGTTTTTGTAGTCTAAAAACGGGCAACTTTGCCCCCATTTAGCCTGCACTGTATCTCTCACCGTTACGGAGATCCCAATGGTGAGCCGCGAATTTGAACCACCCTGTACATTAATTTTAGTACTTGTTAATTTATTATTGAAAATCATGAATGATTGTATTTGTGGTTCAGTAAAATTGATACTATTTTGTAACCAATTACGATGTGGATGTATCTTAAACAGGTTAATCATTTCACATACTCACATACACACAGATGCATACTCTACAGACAAAAAAGTACAATCTTTTATGAAGTAACTTGTTCAAAATATATGGGTTTTTAGCGTGCCAGAGACTTATGCTCAAAATGGGGTAATATTTTGTGTATTCAGCCCCAAAAATCTTAAAAATGGTGTCAATTATCAAATATATTAGAAACGTAAGGTCAGTCAATAAAATGCAAGAACTGTTGAGCCAGTCGAATTGTACACAAAAAAAAGCAAAGTTCGCAAACACGCAGGTTTTACGATTTTTGGGTATATTGTCAAGACCTTCACAGGTAGATTATTTTTCTTAAAAAAAAAACTTAAAAAAAACTGTCCACTTTAGAAAAATTTTGCAAGTACATTTTTTTATACTCTTTGCATTAATGCATAGTAACGATATGGTTTCCATTTAAAACTGTCAAGTTTTCGACCAAAAACCGATTGTCAACTTTGAAAGATTATTTGTATTATTTTCGAATCACATTTGAAAATCAGACCAATAACATTTAATAGTACTGATTTTTATGAGGAATTCAAAAATGGCATCAGAAAAGATAGTGCCATTTGAAATAAGAAAGTTCCGGTATCGTTCTGATACAACCGGAAAAGCGGCCATCTTGAAACATATATGTTTAAATGGGTCCCGAATTAAAATTCCTAACCGTTCCTGAGGTGGTTCTAATGGTCCACTTAAAAACACCGCCCTGTATTGAGTAGAATTTTTTATACGATGTATGGCACAATATGGTTCTTTATTATGTCATTTAAAGGAAGAGGAACCATCAATGAATTATTTTGACATTTTGTCAACGCCTACTACCGATTCTTTTTTTGTTTTTCTTTTTTGAAAAATTAGACTGATACAGTAAAAAAGGTTATTGAATTTCATGGCTAAAATTTAAACAAATATAGGTTGTAATACATCAAAAATATGGTTTCCATTTGAAAATGTTAAGTTTTTGACCAAAAACCGATTGTCAACTTTGAACGATTATTTGTATTATTTTCGAATCACATTTGAAAATCAGACCAATAACATTTAATAGTACTGATTTTTATGAGGAATTCAAAAATGGCATCAGAAAAGATAGTGCCATTTGAAATAAGAAAGTTCCGGTATCGTTCTGATACAACCGGAAAAGCGGCCATCTTGAAAAATATGTTTAAATGGGTCCCGAATTAAAATTCCTAACCGTTCCTGAGGTGGTTCTAATGGTCCACTTAAAAGCACCGCCCTGTATTGAGTAGAATTTTTTATTACGAATACTACGATGTATGGCACAATATGGTTCTTTATTATGTTATTTAAAGGAAGAGGAACCATCAATGAATTATTTTGACATTTTGTCAACGCCTACTACTGATTCTTTTTTTGTTTTTCTTTTTTTTTTAAATTAGACTGATACAGTAAAAAAGGTTATTGAATTTCATGGCTAAAATATAGGTTGTAATACATCAATGTAATCAGAAAAAAATGCAAAAAATTTACGTTAAGATTTACATTTTTGGTTAATTCTCAGAAATGGTGGTCCAAACCTCAAAAATTACGAAGATTATTTATTTAATTTACTTGCTAATTATTAAACTCAATTACTACAAAGCAATACATATATAATATAATACAGAACATAAAAATACAAAAGGAAAATTAATTCTCACCAGATGCCTTACAAAATAATCATTCATACAAGTAGAGCACCAAACATAACAGAAAAGAAACTATAGAATAAGAAATTTACAAAACTTGGGATTAATATTAAAGTACCTTAGCTAAACATGAAAATATAAAAATGTGGAAAAGAAAAAAAAGACAAAAAATCTACTTAAATGCTCTGATCATTTTCTTGCGAACGCACTGTAGCTTTGGTTAAAAATATATATTATGGTCCGTTGGTCGATTGGGACCATTTTTGCATCAACCATAAAGAATTTTTGACGAATACTGTTATCTTGATAATGTATTGCAAATGGCAAATTGAAAGCTGGAACTATTAATTTTTAAACTTTGACACATAGGGCAATTTCTCTGTAACTAATCATCGATTTAAAAAAAATAAAAACAGTTGTTTACACATGTGTTCCTAATTATGGGTTATTTAACCCATCATATTTAAAAATCTGTAGTTGGGTTGCAACCCCTAACACAGGGTTAAAGTTGCAAACATTGGCGCCCCTTGATATAAAACGGTTTTTGACTTTTTGTCAAAACATTTATTTGGTTGAATTTTAGTAAGCGTTTACTGAGACACCTTGTATATAGTGGTTGACTGCTTGATTATAAAGGATAGAAATACAATATGGGAAGATTATTAACCCATAGGACCATCAGAATTGGTTTATTATCTGTGTTATATTATGCTAACAGCTGAGTCTCGTTTCCAAATCCTTTTTGTTGCATACACCTTATTTGTGAGATATCCCATTTCAAGTACACAACAATAAATTGGATCAATGCTGATGAAGTAGATACTTATACATTAACTAGCATCGAGACTAGCATATTCATTAGGTTAAGAACAAACAAAAATCGGTCAAACAGGTCACAGAAAAAGGCACATCAGATATTGAAGTGTTTAATTTACGGAAGTATAATCTGAAGGTGCCACTTACCATCTGCATGCGAAATAAATTCTTGGCAATTTCTGCAATTTCTTGTGGGTAACGTAAGAACAGTTAAAAAGGCCATTGATGGATTACCAGTCCTAGACACGAAACTATAATAAACAGCACACCTACATGTTGTAAGAATACATACGCGATGGCATAACAAATGATTTTGTACGGATCGAGAGGAAATTGCATGAACATCACCTCATCGAGTCCTAAGGAACTTTTAAAAAGCCTAAAAATTCGATGTTTCCCAACATATCGCAAAGTCTGCCCAGGTACAAATCTCCAAATGTAGAGCACGTATTCGACCGAAGGAAACAGAACGGCGGAAGAGTTAGATTCGCCCAACTTAGTCGTGTAACTGATAAAAAACCTACCGCATAACGTAAAGCCCATAAAAATATGACTCCTGCAAATGCATTAGATCAACCGATTTACGAAATTGAAGGGGTCACTTACATAGGATCACCTTTCGGAATAAAATTCTCCAAACTATATCTACATTTGTAATAAATATCATTAAAAATACGCTCAGTACTGGCTCTAGAATGTCTTGTAAACCTTCCATAAATCTGCAATGTTTAGAAATATTAGTTTGGAGGTTATAAAATCGGATCTTTAAACTAACCTGCCTATTTGTAATTTTTTGCACTAGATTTAAGCGAGGGTTTGTGTCTTCTAATTTGAAATTTTCCTCATCGTTATTAGTAAAAAACTTATTAGTAATATGGCAAGGGTTCTCTTTAAAAATTTCGGAATCTGAACTGTCCTCAGAAACGCTTGACGCCATTTTTTGTTTACTTTTCAAAATCAGTCGTTGGGCATTCTTTCACAATCATTTTTTGAACATTTAAATTTCCTTTTATTGATTTGTGCCAATTAAACTTTATCGAATCCATTATTCCTTATTCTTAAACTTTCAAGTAGCATTGGAAGTATTTTAATGTCGTTAGTCAGTGGCGTGCGAAGGACCCTTCTTAGACCATACACAGTACCTGAGTACCATTGACTAATATTGGGGGGGTATTAGTCAATAACAGTACAGTTACAGAGAGCTTCGCATATACAGTGTGATAACTAAATAACGTATTTGTTTAAACGTTAAAGATATTTTGGGATTTCGAGGGTTTTAAAACGATTTTCATACCATTTTCATTGTAAAATGTCTACAAATGAAGTTGAACAAATTTGCCGTGGCCAGCACAGATACCACCCACACATATGGGCGATTATGCCTAAAAGCCTTTCAGCTCTTCCTTTTATGTATAAGAATGTGTACCAAATTTGGTTCCAATTGGTTCAGCCGTTTATCCGAAAATGAGAGTACAGACCGATCGACATTGTCGAGATTTTGTTTGATTCGGATTTCTGGTGCTTCAAAACGTGTATTTCCGTCAAAAAAGTGGGGGGGGGGGATCATTTTTGTCCCAATGCAGTACCATGGAGATTTCCGGTATAAGAATTCAACCCTCTACCAAGCGCCAACGATCCCTTTGGGAGGGGGATAAGCGGATATAGGGCGGGAGTTGTAAAATGGCCCCCAGAAAGCGGAGGAGTCTATCACGACCAACATCATCAAGTTGCGGAAAGCAACAGGAGGTCACCCGATTAAAGACCCTAGTGGGATTTCCCTGGAAGAAGGTGATGGGCGAGTACACATTTATTCGGTATGGATTCCTCGAATGCTAAATATTCCGGAAAATAGTTTCCCATTCGGATCTTCTGGGCAGACAGTATTCGGGGAACCCTAACAAAAAGTGCAAGAAGCAAACTGAGAATATAGAGACCTCAGAGATGGAGATTATGGATTGGAAGCAAGGAATGAAAGGGGTGTACGTCTAATAGAATTCTGCAGGGAAAGGAAGATGGTCATCGCTAACACTTGGGTTGAACATTGTAAAAGGAAACTTTTACACCTAAAATTCCCCTGGAGACAGATCAATTTCATCATGATTGAAGAAAGATACTGAAATGGGTTAAAAAATGCGTGTGGATTGCCTGGTGCAGATATTAATAGTGGCCGTGTCCTTTTGTTGGCACAGTTGGAAATAAAATTGAAAAGGATTAAAGTCGCAAAAAGAGTAAAGGAATGCGCTCTGGTACAATTAGGGGAGATGACAAAAAGGAGAGCATGAAGAAAGCGATAGTCAAAGTGACTATGAAGGAGGTGGGGTATAGGAAAGGAAAATAAGATCAAAGAAGCCTTGGATAACATTTGAAATGATTGAAAAACTGGAAGAACGAAGGAAGTATATGCGGCAAAAACGGCAGAGGGAAGAAAGAAATATAGACGACTGAAGAATGAATTAAGAAGAGTAACTAAAAGGGCGAGGGAGCAATGGCTGCTAAATGAATAAAAAGAAATAGAGGGGTACGATGGAATAGTAACGCACATTGTTTTCAACAAAATTAGAAGCATGATGTGGGATAAAGGAAAAACAGAGGATAGCAAAGTACTGAATAGAAGAAGTATCAGAGGAAGATAAGGGTGGGAGTATATTTTGATGTCAGAAATTAAGCCGGCTATAAGAGATATGAAGAATGGTAAGACTGCTGGGATAGACGGGATACCGGTAGAGTTAATAGTCTTAGGAAGAGGATTTAGAGGAAGAAGGAATGAGGATACTAACTACTGAGGAATTTGCATAATGAGATATGCGAGAGTGGAGTGTGACCCGAACACTTTCTTAGAACCGTTATGATACAGCTTCAGAAAAAGAAGGGACCAAAGAAATGAGGTTGAGAATAATGGGGAGGGGGAAGATCAATTGGGATTCCGAAGGGGGTTGGGAATCAGGGATATAATCGCAGTAGTGAAAACAATTGGAGATATACAGAGCGAGGAAGAACTGCAAATCTGTGCCTAGTAGATCTGGAACACGTCACATGCTTTGTAGGGGTCGAGATGAGATAAGGAAAAGATTGGCTCCCCTGGAACGATTCTCAAGTTCCTAGGAATAACTGAACTGATCAAAGGAGGGTGCAAAAAAATGCTTAAATACGTTTCAAAAATAAAAATGTTCCAGTCAATGTTGAGAAACTTTTTGGTGGCAGGAAATGAGAAAGGGCTTCATGTACTGCCATCATTGGCGGAAAATAAGTTCAAAATTTAATCAACTGTAAAATGAAAACTTAAAAACAGTGTTTTAAGTCTGTTGCAGTTTTTGTGCACAAGCGAAACGCGAAAGTATATTGCTATTACAGGAAGATAAGACAAGAATTAATGAAACTTATTGAAAATGCGAGGGGTATTGAAAAATATATATTTGATGATGGAATACCTACCCTTCATATTTCTGAATCACAATAAACATTTTCACAGATAAATAAATGTTATAGGTAATGAAGATTAGATTTTTATTCTAATTTTTTTTTTGTAACACACTTGTTAATGAATTTTAACAATATAATATATTTTAATATTCTGAAAAATTTCATTAACTACTTTCAATAGATTCTTAAAGTTGTAACTGAAGAGTTTGACTACGGCAGCAAAATTAAGAGAAACTAAACCCAGAAAAAGGTATACCAATAATTGCGAACGTAGTAACATCAATAAAAAAAATTAAATATTAATTATAATACAGCTAGTCTTACAACATCCCCTATTTACAATGAAAATAAAAGTACAACAAAAATGAATTAATTGTAGTGTATAGAGCTACAGGAAGCTTCTTTTTTAAAAAATATGAAGGTACAGAATTGTCAAAAATTATACCAGGCATTAACTTTCAACTATATTCACAGCAGCACCTCTACAACTTTTGCTTTTATTTAAACAGATTTTGCAAACTAAATTGAATTCATAATTGACGAATTAATTATAAAAAAGTTAACAAGTCTAAGAAACGCTAATTGAAAAAAAAAAGGAAATTTATTCGTAACGATAACAACTCCGCATAGGCCCAATGTATACACATACTCAATTGACATCTAAAGTATAATACTTGCATCGTCTAATGACAATTTAATTTGGTTTGCATAATTTACACTTTGGTTAACAGCCAATAACGTAGACTTTTCGAGTATAAAGCTTTGTTCCAACTTAAGTAACTGGATTTGTACTGTGTTAATTGTGGATATTATTTACCTTTGAATATGTCAGTGTGTAAACTGAAAAGTTGAAATTAGTTTGACCACAAATAAAAGTTATTGTAAGTAGCGTGGTGATTGGCAGAAATTTCGACTCGACCTAGTGAACCTACTTCATCAAAATATTCGAATTTAATCAAGGTACTAAGTAAGCACATCTACATATACTATTACGCGTTACGCAACACGGATTTCCATTTTCGTTATTCGTCATCTGTGTCGCCATCGCTCGAATAATCTTGAATGGGTATCGGCCTTGCGAACGGCGCAGATGTCATTTGCCTACAAAATGAACTGTTCGTCACCATGAACAAGTTGCTATTTTGCTTACGCCAACCGACGATAATGATTTAGCCACTCTTCAACCATTTGAGCAACCAATAATGGACGTTTGTGTAGCAATTGCTGTGCAACCAAGATTCCACCCTCTGACTCGCAGACATCTAACCACTGCCTTAGTATAGTCTCCTCTTTACCTAGCTGAAATTTGATTATAAAAACTACAGCAACCCAATGAAATTAGACACACCATCAACAGAAAAAATCTGACATTAGTTTTCTATTTTCAATTAAAACTAGATTCGAAAATCACCTCAAAAATGATAAGGAAGAATTACTTTTTCCTGAAATTGTCATTATGAAAAAGTGTTCTATACAGAAACAAAAGAGCATTGTTGTAGGGATAGATATCACAATTAAAGAATCCAAAATTGAGACAAGCATATAACAGTCCCCTTCATGTAAAATAGGACGAGATATCCCCTCCACCGCAATATTAAAAACAAGCAATATCTGCAATCTACAATACATGTTGTTTAACCCCTTTTATTGAATGAAGTTTAATAAAATTTAAAATCAATATCACTTTTGAGCAAAAAGCCGCATGAGTAAGTGAGTAAGGGACGGACAGATAGCATATCCACATTATAATATAAGCTATATATGATATAATACAAGATGTGATGGAAAATAATAATATAGGCAATTATGGTTTGCAGTATAATAAAATATAAAAAATATAGAATAGAAAACCTTAAACGTAACGTAAATTTAATTACGTGATTTATTTATTTATAATTCATTAACAACAAATGTATCTTGAAATGAATTGATTTATAATAGTAAATATAATAATATAGTATAATAAAATATTTTCACAATTTATAACAGCGCCAACTATTTATTACTTCGGCGTCGAAATGGGAACCTAGGCTGAAACGCAATTCGATATGTTTATATAGCAAACTCAAGTCTTCTCGCGTGCTCCCAAATGATCTTGAACATTCAGAACAAAACACATCACATTTCCCGGAAAAATTGCGCCACCCCGCCTTCGTTTTATTTGGCTTCGGCACGTGCAGTAATGATGCGTCAAACTGTATGTGCATTTCAATTATTGGTGACAAACAGAGATAAAATTTGATTCAGTTTACGATCACCTTTTATCCCTCTATTTTTCCTTCTCTAAGGTTATCTCATTTAAATCCTGCTCGTTGCGATCAGAAATTCCGTTATCGCTGCGAACGCTAATTAGTTGCAAGATAAGCAAGTGTTATTACAGAGTTGAGTAGATGTTCGTTTTGACGAAGCATTAATAAATTAAGGAAGGAGGAAGGAAAGGGTTTTCGGTAAAGGCAAGGCAAGGTGTGTTTGGGTCAGTTCTAAGTGCGCCTGAATATCGCAGGATTTTTAAAAACCGATCATGAATGCCCTTTTCTCTTCCAGCATTTTTATTTTAATTTGCAGAATAAATTTTTGTCTTTGTAAATTATTTAACTGTGTGTTTAATCGAGCCCAAAGTGTGACTCAGATAGTTTTCATGTCAGATTTTTCTATTTGTGCCCAAGAATTATATCAGGTGTTAATTAAAATTTGTTTAGTTAATTCTTTAGAATTGTGAAGAGTTGATCGAACGATCGACTGTGTCTTTCAAATTAATAAAATTTAAAACCAACATTAGGATTTTTCTTTATAGTGAATGGCAGACGTGTACAGGAAAAAATTATAAACTTCAAGTAATTTAACATTTTTATAATATTTAATTATTGACCGCCTGCGTGCGGGGTATTATGTTCAAACAAGCTTTGTAAGCTTTTCTTTCTTGCAGAGATTTTGTTTTAATTGTTTCGGAATACATTTATGTTATTGTCAATCGACTAATTGTTTATTAGGATCCTTTGTGCGATCCAGATAGCACATAATTAGCAATAACCTGAATTTTTTCTGTTAATGGAATCCAACTTAAAAAGTACAAATAATGTATAATACTCCATCACAATACCTCTGAAGCAGTTAAGAAGTGCACGTGCAGCAATTTGCGTTCTCTGTCCATCAGTGGTAGAAATATACTTTGGAGCTCATCCGGATGTTGCGTTTGTGTGCGATCAAGGCGACTGCTGTAAGGTTCAAGTGGAACGAGTGCTGAAAAGTGGCCACGGGAGTATCCCAAAGCGATAGGTGTTCGATCACAAAAGCTTTGCTCCCACAGTAAGGGCAAATAAACACCTAAAACCGTCAATGTAAAACCTTAATTTATGACATACAACCCCAACCTTCAAATCTAGCATATCCTAGTGCTTCTCCTCGAAAACTTTTAACAAATTTAACCCCATAGACGATTATGGGGCGTCTAAGAATATGAGCTAAGGCAAAAATATGTAACTGTTCTAAACTTGTTCCAGGTTGACTAGCTAAAGACAATAAACTCGTCCAGTCCGTCTCCCATTGCCCTTCTTCTAGTGAAAAATGAAGAAGGGACGCTTGGGTAGCCTCATACTCTTTCCACCGGGGATAAAATCTGAAATATAAAGTCTGCACACTCTGTCAGCGAAGGGAAAAACTTACAGGCGACCTCCTTGGTTGAGACTTTCCGCCAAAGCTCGCCTAAGTGTATTGTCTCGATCGAAAACGCCCCACGTCGCTTGCATAACTGAATCCAGCAGGCAATCGCCGGCAGAACGGTTCCAGAGTGCATACAATCGAGAACCAAGCCTCACAGTGAGCTCAAGAGACCAATTAATTACGGCGGGATCGCTCTCGAGCTGTTCTTGCGCATCTTTGTCTAAGAGCTCCGTAAATAATTGCTCCTGAACTGGTCCAGGAAGTTCTTCAACCTCTGCAAGTGAACGGTATAAGATAGGGCTTACTCGGTGGCCTACCAACTAGAAGGAATGGGGTGAAGGGAGAAGAGCGCTTTTAGAAAATACTTTACCTGCAGGAAGGGCAAAGGTGGGTAATTCTGTAACGTAGTTACAGGGAAAGCTGCCTTTTCTTTGACGTATCGTCGAAGCGAAGTGTCTTCTTATATCTGCCGCTAAATCAGGTGCAACATAACTAGGAACACGTTTTACTCCTGAACCGGACCCTTCTATTTGGGATAACAGGATTGCAAGTATATCTTCTCTCTGAAATCTAAACATTTTTATAAATTTCAGTGATACAGAAAATACAAAATATACAAGCATAAATTTGGATCTGGGAGCAGTTTTTTCACTAATCATGTCAGGAGGGGAACCTTCCTTATTTGAAATTCAGGAACCAATAAATTGATATACAGAATGTTTCAAATTTTTGTAATACACAGGGTAACATCATAATCATGACACTCACCTTAAAGCTAAATGAACTAAAGTATCCTCAACATCAAACGCAGACGCTCTATTTAACATAGCCACTTCTGCAGCGGTAAGCTTACGTCTTGGATCGCCGCCCGACGACAAATACGCCTCGATAGGATTAGGATCACCTTCGATTATTCCCAAACAAGCATTTAACCAATTCCAGTCAGCCTGTCGCCTTAACTGTCTCATTTTACGTTCCGTATCATAATTATTGGAGGTTTGCGAAATGGATGTATCTGTAAGATTTTGTAACGGTCAAATCTTTTAACATTCATCGGAATTACCTAAAATATTAGGGCTGGTGCGGTATCTCGAATCTACGTTGGAATCGATGTCACGCTCGGGCGATGACATTATAAGACTAGATGCTTGCGATCGTTGATTGTTTGGAATATGACCGCACATAGAGCACTTAATCGATTTCGGCCAATTCTCGTAAGTACACATCTAAAAAGTGGCACGCTTAGATTTTGATAACAGCGGTGCGTTATCATTGTTTAAATGCTTTACAGTTGAACAATATTATGAAAATATTATTTAGGCGAAAAAATACTTTTATTTCTCCCTGGCCTCAAATTTAAAGCCCCCCCCCCCTTATTTAAAAAAATGTAGAAATTAAGGTACACAGCTTAGGTGGCCGCGACGCCTTCCAATTTACAGTCAAGGTACAATAAGAAAGTGACATTATAACATCAGAAACCAGTACCAACAAACGAATCCTCAACATTTACTACGGTTAAGTGGAGATTTTCCCCTCTCCCACCTAAACCGCAACTTCAAAAAACTTGTATGCTAAAGAATTGAAAAATAATCTACTTTCAGTTTCGAAAATGATGGGAGTTGGAGTGATGCCCTTTAGACCTATTTGATATTGCATTTTGGTATTTGTTTTTTAGTATTGTTGTTTTGTTACTTTTGTTTGTTTAAATTGTTAAAGCCAGAACCGTAGATTGCTGACAATGTAAAAGGGCAAGTCCGGTTTTGTTAGTAAATAAAATAAATAAATAAATATATTTGTATTTTTTTCTTATTTTGACGAGTACTATCACCCCCTGAAATATCTGCATGACATTAATTAACACCCTGTAATAAACAAAAGGTAAGTCATAACCTAAACAAAAGCTTGCAAAGACTTAGAATTACAAAATAATACCATGAATTCCAAAAGAGTTCCTTAAGAATGCCATGAATGCCAAGCATGGGCGTACGCAGGGAGGGGCAAGGAGGGGCAGCTACCCCTCCCTGGCCTGCCCACAGGTTACGTTTTATGTTTGTTAAGAAATATCTATAAGAATTGTCTTTGTTGTTGTTTATATCCACCTATCTATTTTCGCCCCGTATTTTTTTTGCATATTTAATACAAAATTAATTGATATAAAAGCGGTAATAACTAATATTTTGAGATATAATAATTTCGAAGACGTTTTTAGTAACTATTACTTACCTACTAAAAATAAAAATGTATATTAGGTGTTTCATTAAAAATTTTTTTTTTTCGCCAATTTTATTTTTTGCCTCTCCCTAGACCAAAAGGTGCGTACGCCCATGAATTGCCAAGAGGTACACCAGAATTCCACAGTGGCCCGATACCGGAACCCTTAAATAATAGTTCAACATAGTGGTGCAGAACCGGAACCCATGTTTCATATAGTTTCCAACCCCTGCCCCCGACTGGTCGGCATGCTCTGCTTATTCAAAAAAATGTAGAAATTTGGAACATAGCCCCAAAGAATTTTAAACTCATTTTATTTACTCCGAAAAAACATGGAAAACATCCATAGTTTTTCTGACGCTCAGTACGTGAGTGTCCAAAAAATTAGACCCTACTGTCAGCACGAAAAGCAAAACGAAAAGTATAGATAGGTGATTCACGTAGCCTGTTCGTTAGAAGTTTTTAACCTTGCAGTTGAACTAGAACCTGGGTATTTGATTTACAGCCATAATCGACCATTGTGAATTGAAATAAAATAATTTCAACATGGCGCATCTTCCTCAAAAATACCGGAAGTGGCGCCATCTTGTTTTTTAATAGACACATACCATTTTCTATTTTTTTTCTAAGTGCTATTGTATTCTAAATTCGACGCAATTAAGATTTACATTCCTATCAGTCATAGTTTTTGACATTTTGATTTTAATTGCTAACTTTGAAAAATCGCAGCAGCCACGGAAGCCTTTTCAAGACTTTGATAGGTTTGAATTGATATCAAAAGTTTGTTTAATTCTACAAAAAAATTTCGTAAAATTTCCGTATTATGTTACCAAAGCCCCCCCCCCCCTCTTTTTTTTAAAACAAGAATCCAAAAAATAACCCACTTTCTTTATGCACATATGAATACTACTATAAGTTTGACTTTTTGGGACCTTGTAATATCTTACTACCCATGAAAGATAGAAAAAAAACGTAAAAACTGCCTATTTGAGATATTTTTTCGTAGATCCAGTGGCGTAGTGAAAAAAATTTTTTGACACAGTTTCTAAGATTTGACCTACAGTTGGTATTTTTTAAATGCAACACCCTGTATATTTTACCCTCAATTTTTTTGCATTTTTTTCCTGATTATATTGATGCATCATTATGTCATATTTTTCAAAATGTCAGAATACCGTCTGCGATTTTATTGATTGGTCTCGGTTACTATGGATACAACAAACAACACAAAATCTCCATGAATCTATAGTAGACCAATTTAAATTTAAAAACCATAATAAATTAATAACCAAAATAAAGTTTTTATTTTTGGTACATGGATAAATTTAAAAAAAATATATACAACATCAATATAATTGGAAAAAAATGCAAAACAAATGACTTTGAGAGATACAGGGTGTTGCATTTAAAAAATGGCAACATTGGGTCAAATCTTGGAAAGGGTGGTCCAAACATTTTTTTGACTACGCCACTGGATTCTGCGTAAAAATTCGACAATAGGCAGCTTTTATCTTTTTTATATCTTACATGGGTATAGTAAGATTCCAAAAAGTTAAACTTTTCGTTTTCACCCTGTATAAACTGAAAAAACCTACATTGATGCTGTTTGTGGTAATAAAATTCACAAAAAAGTGGCACCCAGCCTTACGTTGACTCTGTTCAACTATAAAGGATTAAACAATGGGGTTACTTACAGGACATGTCCACTTCTGTGTTGTTCTTCTGCTGTTTTCGATGTTTGTTAAACTTGTAGGAGGGCTGTTCGTACGAGATCTTGACAAACTTTGCGCAATATCGGACTTCTGTGTTACTCTCAAAGGTTGTGGGTTATCGTGTAATGTATTGGACGACAGCAGACCGGGGTTACCACATTGAATACAGGTTTGATCATTGGATGTGTTCATAGCGTACATACAAGTTTCGCACGACCAATTCGATTGGTTTTCACAGGGACCTGCGGCTAATCCTGGCAGTGTACTCGATTTATCGTCGTTTCCATGTAATCGATAAATATCCTCGCTATGGAAAGGTCTCGGACCACGACACATCGTGCATTTCTGGGATGAAGGAAAGTTTTCGTACGTACAATAATCACAGGACCATTTTGTTTGAGTGTTATCACTCATTTTTATTAACAAATAAAGCTTATTTGTGTAACCTGACTGACTTACTACTATTTAATTAGCTTCAATCCACTTAATGTCATGAGTTTACCATGTTTCGCTTTTTTAGTCCTTTCCAAGTTCTGAACATGTAATCGCAAATATTCACCAACGTAATGTCACTTCATATCTGCAATTATACAAAACAAGGGCACTTGAAAAAGAAGGCTTTAATTGAATTATTTAATTAGATCTTTGGCACTAACACAACTTCCTGACAAATCAACATAACAGTATTTTGTTGTGCCAATGTCACCCATTTTTAGACTATATAAGCAATATAAAAGGGAACCGTTTCACAAAGCCAAATTATAGAAACATATTCAAAAAATGTTTTGATGTGTTTTTATGTCCCTGGGTTATTATTGTGTGTATGTTGAATCAATACGGGAATTAGGGCACATAATTTACATTAAACTGATCTTAATATCCGTCAATTGGTAATCTCACCTGGCTGAAATATTTCCACTATTTTATTTGGCGAAAAGGCACAAGGAATTATGCTTTTTGTTGAACGAAAAACAAGTAATTTAGATATCATTGGTGGTAAATAATTGGATGGCTGTCAACTCTATCAAAACTTCATGACATTTTTTGACGTATGACAGCTACACCAGCCTGACCAACATTTAATTTGGAAATGTCACCAACCATTACAGTGGTGGTGCTAAACGATTCTTTATAAGGGGACTTCCACTTGTATTTCGGTCATGGAGGTCCAATGCAGCTTCTTTTCTTATCGATAATGGAATCGTTTGTATTTCCGGTCCCCTCCAGTCATGTTTTGGACAGCCTTTTGGTTCCTTTGCCTGGCTGTCTCTAGAACCCTACGTTGACAGAACTGTCGCAGCTGTTGTCTGCATGGGTGACCCTATAGTCTGAGTACGATAGAAATAACGGAAACTTCCCATGTATGTTGGTTCTTAAACGTATCTCAGCAAGGGGATGATTATTCGCATGGTCGTTTCTCCAAAGTGATGTGCATTCTTCTACTGTTTGGCAACTTTCTTACATAAGGGAGTTAGAAGGATTGGACATGGTCCCAGGAGCTGTAAAAAGAGGCCAAGTAGCAGCAGCTAGCTGAATGCACAGCGTGCTGAACGCCTAAACCCTTCATCTTGACCGGTAGACTTGATTGACTCCAACTGATGGTTGGGGGTAACGAGACGCTAACTGTACGCGGTTTGCAGACATCGTAGAAAGCACAGATACCATACCTACATACTCCTGCAATAGGTACAAATTATTAATGCGTAGGGTGGAAAAATGAGCCCTATTGACAATTGCCAAAGGAATGTAACGCCATTATAAAAGTTTGATTCGAAAACGCAGTCGTACTTTTCAGGTAACCAAAAGCATTGATTATACACACTCTTAATCAATGCCAAAAGGGTCTTCTCAGCTCGTTTTAATTATGAAATTGAAGAATAACAAAACGTCCAATATTTGAAAATTAGAATCTCCGCCACTGGTAAATCTGCAGCTGTGTAATATTTAAACGTCACACCAACATACATAACCAAAAAAGTTTTATTATTTATTTTGGTGTCATTTTATGTTAAACCATAGAGTAAATAACGTTTAGAGATGCCACGGGATAGGGATTGCTGGTTTATAACAATTTATGGCCATGCAATGCTGCTATCTAGTGACAAATGCTGGTTGCTGTATTCGAATCTGTTATATCCGTCTATAGGAGCCTTTAAAAGAGCTTAAGATATTTCAAAGCTGAGCTTTAAATGAAATTACGTCATCATTCATGAAAGTTGCGATTGCAACTGTACTCCAGTGTAGGTAGTAAGTAATTCGAAACCGCTACATATTTATAGTATGAGTAAGTTCATTCACAACGAGGGACCTACCAGCTGATTTCATTCTGTTTATCTAAAAATTAACTATCATAATCCAGTATTAACCGAACACCTTAAAAAATGTTAAAAAGTTGAGAGAAAAAACTTTCAATTGTAATAGTTATTTGTACAACTAGTTTTGAAAGTGTTACTTTTTTTCATGAATTTGCAGTTTGAATCAAGCGAATTCATGAAAAAAAAACACTTTCAACATGTGTTGTACACGAAATTTTTTTGCATAGTGATCCTTAATAATCTATAATTGCATAATATCATTGACATTCGCCATTTTCTGTCACTCAACAATTGAGCTATTGGCCATAGACAGGACGAAACGCCATGGAAACGCATAGTAAAAATCGTGAAAAAAAGTACCACTTTCCCTACGATTTTTTGACAAAAAAAGTCCGGTAAATTGATAACTATGCAAAAAAAAACTTGCAATTTAATAAGAGTTACCTACTCGATTCATAGAGGTATGAACGTATTGGTATGGTCATTGGTATATCGTTGGATTCGTCTTGACACAGAATACAAATGGGAACGTTACCAATTACGAAACAGTCACATTTACTTCGTTAATTATGCGTAAAAAACATTTTTTAAATCGTTCTGTTATACAATTTTTCATGGATTATTCCACAGCAAACGACAAATTACACAAAAATCCATATTTTATCAAAATGTCTCATTTCATTTATTTCCATATTAGTCCAGGCCACGGTGGTATAGACCACCGTATACCACCGTGGTCCAGACTAAAAAGCTAGCTGCTAAAATAATTTATTAAAAAAAAAAATTAGTTACGGGGCAAAACCGGGTTTTTCAGGCAGGTGAAATGATTATAAATTGGGGAAAAATAATTAAAACAGCTAAATTTTTCCGCGGGTGAAATCCCGGGAGTTGAAAGGGGTGGAAAGCGGTACATATTTTGCAAATTGTGGGAAAGCAATTAATTTTAGACGAAAATGGTCAATACAAAAGTTATAGAGAATAAAAAAATGAACAGCTTTTGTATCTGCACTATTTTCACATAACCAGCATAACCTCCAGTTTTCCTAGAAAATCCGGAAAAATCGTTTTTTTCGTTTGAAATTTGGAGGAAACATAGCTTGTTTTATTATAAAAAAGGAGAGATTTTTGGGACCGTAAAGTTGAACCGTTTCCGAGATCTCACAAAAAACCACCTCTTTTTCAAGGAGATGAAAAATCTATCATGAAGTTTATTCCAGGTTTTATATCTCAATTCTCAAATCATTTATTGTTTTGGCCGGTAAAACAGACGTTCTTATAGGGAATTTTATTTTGCAAGTTTATCAACAAGCCCAACGCAATTGCATCAGCTGTAAAACATAGCCAGGAAGAAGAGTAAGTGAACAAAAACAAATTGTTCAGGAAGCGATTTTACTTCGAATTGCTTTTATTGTGGTAAAAATGCAGAAAAAAGAAATAATAAAGATGTTTTAACTAAAACGTTGAGCATAAGGAAACAAAAGACAATATTTTAGCAAACATTAAAGATAAGCAAGAAGATAGATTTCGAAAAAATCTTTATTAACATCCAAAACGTTCATTGATCATGTCAAAAATCATGTATATCTTAAATCTGTTTTTCCAGTTTTTGGCGATTTTCTAGAAGTTTTTCTATAGGAATAATAATTTTTATTTTTGTTTATTAAAATATAAGTCTTCCCTAAAATTTTACTACCCCCCGCACCTCTGTGCGATGAAAAAAAATAGATTTTTCATCTCCTTGAAAAAGATGTGTTTTTTTCAGAAATCGTGATATCTCGGAAACGGTTCAATTTTCCGGTCCCAAAAAAATTGTCTCCTTGTTTGTAGCTACGTTTCCTACAAATTTCAAACCTTTACGACTTTTTTTCGCAAAAGTAAGAACAAAAAACGAAAAAAGGTTTTTCCGGTTTTTCTAGGAAAATTAGAGGTAAGTAATGTGAAAATAGCGCAGATAGAAAAGTTGTTCATTTTATTCTCTATAACTGTTACATTGAACATTTTCGCCCGAAATTAATATGTACCTATTACCACAAATTGCCAAGTACCACTTTCCACCCCTTTCAACCCCCGGGATTTCACCCGCGGAAAAATTCAGCTGTTTTAATTATTTTTCCCCAATTTCTGATCATTTACATCATATCCATATTACAATAAATCATAGTCGCGCAGGCCTTGGTTGGAGGTATTCGTTGACGTGATGGTATGAGTCGAGGTATGAGTTGTTGGTGAAAATGTGAAAAATTCACCGACTTGACTTTTAAATTTTTTGGCCGACGTAGGCGTCCGCAATTCTTGTGGAAGATGGTAGAACAGTTTGATCGCCATGCACCTGGGGGAATCCTCGAATAGTGTTGTGTCGCACAGAATTGCAGAATTTGATGCTGATTAATTTTCCCTTTCGGAGTTTCTTGTAGCTTTACAAATAACGAACTTATGGTCAAAAACCGAAAAATGTTTAGAAAATGCGGTGGCGTTCATTTATTTTCAAAGATACGAACAAATAACCATTAACAAAACCCTTAGTAATTTTTTCTCAGCTTTCTAATGGTGCTAACTTAAAATTTTCATGACTTGTGGGTTTCGACTAAATCACATAAACTTTTTTATGTCACATTGGATTTTTACGTCACTCGATCGAGTTATTAAATTACAATGTGATCCAGTGATGGACATTTCCAGTAGGTAATTCCGTATTAGGTTTAGTAGGTGGTGGTTGAACCTTGGACATATCAAAATTCAAAATAGACTCAATAGAGTTGAATAGACCGCTAACCATAGATTTTCCTTTGATAAAGCAATGAAGCGATGGATAGAGAAGATAAAATTTCTCACAGCAGCTAACAAGTCGCGTAACCATGCATGTTTCCAAAATTTTGGGAAAAACGGAAACTATTAAATATAATAGGTCGATAGTTTCTTAGATACCCATATCCACAGACCACAAATGCCCCCAATTATCACGAAACACGATACGAAAGAGACATCGCGTTTTAATTATTGTTTATTGTGCAACCATGCAACTTAAAAGATTTAGCGTAGATTGCCGGATGAGGTCAAATTAAATTCTCTGGTAAACAAATCAAAATATAGGAATCTACAGTAGGTTATTAAGCAAAACAAAAGGTCAATATACCCCGATTAAAGGCAATTTTGCCGAATATTGCAAATATCTGGGTTTTATGTCTTCAATTAATAAATATTTATGGCCCCCCATTATGTAGATAGGTATTTAAACATGTCTTCATTCAATAATATAACCCTTTTTTTTAATTCTTGGCGCGCACATATTATAAATAATAATATCCAGTCACAATGTAGACGCAAGTTATGAAAATAAAAACCATTTTGCTGGCTGCGCAATTTATAGGTATGCAATGCGTGGGACGTACGACATGTATACAGTTACATAATTATATCATAAAAAGCTTGGTACTCGCGAGCTTTCAATTGCGTAGGTTTGAATCCTAGACGGAAAATAAGTACACTATTCTGGAATTAAGAGGGAGACACTTGATGCATTCAATGGCCATCTATATTCAAGGATAGTCCCTAGCCGACAAAAATTTACACAGCGCGGTATCTCTAAACGTTGTTTACTCTATGGTTAAACAAAAACAAATTTGGGTCTTGTGCATAATTATTTGTTAACATCTTTAAAAACGCTATTATAAATGGACAGTAGCTCAGAAGGTACCTTAATGCAAATTGGAAAATTTCATTTCAAATAATATTCTCCCGGTTTCAGAATTTCTTATGGACCCATTTGGGTTTGATTTGCCAAAATTCGGAACATACGGCGACATGGGCGAATGGAAACCGAAAAGGTTTGTGATCGAAATTGTTATTCTCCGATAATTTCTGTGTAGTAATTTTAAGAAATCGAAGCATTCCAAAAAACCGAGAACCCGCGGGAAGGCAAGGGAGGAGGCCGAGACGTACACTAATTATCAGAATGTGCTAACTAAGAACGAGTCTCTGAAAGGCGAATGTAAGGAATTGAAGAATATGAATAAGAAACTCCTGGAACAGAACACCAAGTTGCTGGCGGAGTTGAAAAGGGTGTGTAAGAATAGCGACAGTGTTGATGCTTTTCACAATTCTATAAAACACGAGCAGAGAACAGTGGGAGTTGTTTTGAGCACAAATACGTTGGTTAGTTTGTGGACGGAACTGTCGAAAATTGTTATTCCCGAGTGTAAATGTTCGGATGATTGAATGTTTACTTTATGACTAGTATAGAAATCTAGAAATAAGAGCATAATCATGTACTATTTTAATTTATTGTTTGTATTGTATAAATAGGTATTGATTAAAAATAGAACCTTTCGTTTAATGCATAATCTCATATACATTCAACCTAGGTAAATGCATCCCTGAACAAGTACATGATGCGTAAAGCTTGGTTTGAATGTGACAAGGGCAAATACAGCTGAGATGGGCTCTGTAAATCTTTTTAAAAAAATTCATTTATGAGCTAACTTTATGCTTCAAACTTTGAAATACTTAACACAAAAGAGGGGGGCGTACATAACGACCTAGTAGCTTGTATCACTGGACACTACGCTAGCCTAAGATGATTCTAAATGCAATCCAGAATAAAGCTAAATGTTCACGAAAAAGCCAACGAGTTGTTCATCTGTAACGGATCAAGTCTCAACTGTCCTAAAACAAAATACCTAACCTCATCTCTTAGGCGAACAAAAACTCCCCCATGCAATCACGAGAATCCCTAGTGAGAATAACAGCGGGGCTAAAATGTAACAGAAGGAGTCAATTTGAGTACACCCTATTTTTGTAGGTGTGTCTAGGTGCATCCATATTTTTTATTACTTATGTAAAACTGTATTGTTATTAAACCAATAAATTATTATTTTCCAATGAAGAATCTTTAAAAAAATTCAAATTCAAAACTGTCATTGTCATGAATTCCTGAGCATCCTGAATACATTTTGTAAACAATTTTGTTACAAAGGTCACAGCTTACTTACTATCCAGCTGCACAACTCTCTTGGCGGGAGCGGTTTGCGCCATCTACGCGCTTATGCCCCGCCTCTTAGGGTAAAAGACTGCATTGCCTGTTTGGCGTGCAATCAAGCCCAGTGTTGCCACGTTGACCATTTTCCCGAATTCAATTCAATTAGGCAATAAAATTTATTAAACACCTTACCCTACTTTCATTGCAATGTTACGTAATATTGTACAGCAAATTCTAAACGTTCACATTACAATCAAAGACTATGAGGATAGTCTTTGTTACAATACAGCACAAAAATCACCTACTACGGTACTGTGAAGCTACCGTGCGACAAAAATTCGTTTAATCCGGCCCCGACTTTTACCCCAAGCGCGAGAAAGTGCGCACCATTCCATCTCGCTTGGTTGTAGACCGCCAGATCGAAGGCGCCGCTCGAGAGTTGCGGAGCTGGATAGTAAGTAAGCTGTGCAAAAGTGTTCCTTTCAATAAGTTCAGCCAAACAGGACTGTTAGAAATGGGAAAAAATAATAAAAGAATATGATACAGTATATACAACAAACTATATTATTTAGCTCATTTCACATAAATTATAAAATTTATTTTTCAACTTTGTTTCTTATATTAACATTTGTGACAATAAAGCTAACGATTTAAAAAAAAAGATAAAATTTTTACTTCTAATCTACAAACTTAATTCACATCTCGGTCTCGATCGCTTCCTAATGGGTAAAACTTTTTCTAGTTCATTTTGCTGCTCCAAGAAACGATTACCGCCAAGTGACTTTGTGTTACTCCTAGTGCGCAAATGGCGCGATGGAATCGAGGAGGTCAATTTAACCTCATTTTGTAACGATACATCCAGCAAGCTCGGCGCGGTATAGTTTAACGCTTTCTTTGAAGTCGAATGCGTCAATTTCATTTTCTTCTTCAAGGAATGTTTCTTCGGTCGGCCTCTCTTACGTTTTTGACAATTTACAGGCTCGGGTGTCGACTCGTCGTGACTTTCTGGAATGCTCGATTGGGGTGTGTGGAGCTCGTGCGCTTCCAAAGGTTCGACAAGGAGTGGCGTTTTTACAGGCGTCGATGCCGCCAATTGGGCTTCGTCGCTAGGAGTTTCACTAGTACACTCGGTGGTATCTAATTCATCACAGGTGGTCGAAGTCACGTCAGTTTCATTTGTGGTTAATTGGGAACTGCTGAAATTCTGCACTATGTCGTTTGTCTCGGCTTTCTGCTCTTCTTTTGTCTGTAAAGTATGATAAAAGGGTGCTGTATGAACAAGCAGTAATCTATTAGAAAGTAGAACAAGTGCAAACGTTTAAATGTGCACATGTGGGGCGACATGTAAGAAATTAAAAAACAAAACGCAAACCAAACAGCCTCAGCAATACATTCATAGGGAAGAAATACGCAAGGAAACGAAAATGAGAATACATAGGCCAACACTAACATATGGCCACAAAAGCTGGGTATTGCCAAACATAATAGAGAGCCAGTTACAGGTATCATGCACAGCAGCAAGCGAAAAAGCAAAAAACAAGAGATAATTAACAGTGTAATATATGGACACCGTACAGTTTTTGGGAGAAATTAATATACAAACATGACAACTTACTGAATCATGTTCTGAACAAACAAAGCCTAGAAGATTGTCGTATCTGACATTGCCCTCGGAATGCACAGGGCAGTAAGAGTTGGTACATTTAACACAACAACGGATTGTTCGTTTGCTACATATGTTACAGTTATGCCAAGGACATACCCACTTGCCTGTAAATCATAATTTGTAAAACAGTTTACAAAAGTGTAAGCCATTACCTTCAGGCAAGGTGTTTAAATTGACACATGACAAATGGTATACTTTTGTACATATTTTGTTGTTACACGAGACTACTTCGCCAGTTTTACAACAGATAAAGCAAGGAACATCATTTTTCGAAGGATTTGTTGCAAATGACTTCTTAATTTTAACACTAGAACGTTTGGCTTTCTTCTGAGATTCGTCCTAAATTACACATTTAAGAAACCCAAAAATTGTAAAACAGTTACCTTAGTTTTAACACCAATAAACCCACTACACTTTGAAGCTCCGCACCTGCAAATCTTCTTCTCTTTTCCGATACATTCCAAATTATAATTAAAGGTAACTTCAGAATCGGCTGCAATATTGTCGATCGCGAACAAACCAACACGAGTGTCTCCGTTAACTGTCCATTTCTGGGTGACGCAATTCGGCTCGCAGCAGTGATTCATAAACCTCGCCAGATTTCCTAGAAATCTAAAATGTTAATACCTTTACTCCCGTATCGGTTAAAATTATCGGTAAACCTTTCGGTCCGGCGTCGATGATACGATTGTTATCGATCGTGAGGAAATAGTAATTCTCGTCTTTCTGCTCGCTCATCTTTTGAACGCGCCTCTGATACTCCTGATCGTCGATTATTTCGCCGACGTACTCGATAACAAAATCGCCCTTACTAATCGGCGCCAAAGTTTTCAGGCCCCAGCCTCGAGCCTCCGTTTTGTAAGGTACTAGTGGGGGATACTGGCGTTTTTCGAATCTTTGATTGTTGCATTTTTTCCTCGCCGGGCATATGTTTGGGTCGCATTCGGTCAACAACAATCTAAAATTGTAATTTTATTAAGTTTATCATGCAATTTCCCCAAATGTAATTTGTAATTAGAGAACTATATAATCCATAGTAATATAATCTCTCTTTTTAAAACTTGTTTTGTTGACTTTGTCTATAGTCTGCATAAGATCAGCAACAGACGACGAGATAGTAGAAGAAAACAATCATGTAGTCGACAAGATTAATTAAATAGAATGAAAGTGGGAAAAAGCATAAAAAATATAGAATTGAATTGAATCGATCAGCAGAAACAATAGGTCTTACGAAAATCACGATTGCGCGTGAAGAAAGACATAATGCTGTTGGCTTCTTTTTTGTGAGAAATTTAGTTCGGTACTCTGTTGCTCTACTTTAGGATCAAAAAAATCCAAAATTTTATTGAGGAAACGGTAAAATGCATTGCTTTTTGGATCATTATTTATTATGTGCACATTTTGAAGAAATAGATTGCGCAGGCGCAGACCAAACTTTCTTATTTATGAGCGAATTCTTCTGAAATTTAGGGCAAAATGTTTCCTAAAAAATTAATTAAACGTACATAAGTTAAAAAAATAGACTGCGCATACGCAGATGCAATAAAATTATTACGCATCCAGAGACTTACATTTTTTAATTGTCACCCAATTCTCATAAAAGTATATTGAAATCACATGTCAAAATATAGATTTGCGCATGCATTCCAAATAAGTTTTAATAAATCGTTATCGTCCAGTGAAGGTGTAAAAATTCGAAAAACAGTTTATCCATATTCAGAAAAAGTTAGTACAAGTGGGAATCAACAAAGCTGTTCTCTGCTTAGTAAAAGTTCAAGTTTCCACCGTCCGAGCAGCCACCGTGTATTTTTTCGTCTTAATTTATCAGAAGTTTCTTGAAGCTGTCAGTTGAGAATTTTTGGGAGTCTTTGATAAGTGCGCCTAAATATGGTAGACCATTCACGACCAGATTATTTGGATTGTTTAAAACAAACTGTATCACAAGATTTTCTATTTTTAATTGTCGACCGCCTGCGCGCATGGTATTATGTTCAAACAAGCTTTGTAAGATTTTCTTTCTTTCAGGGATTTGTCAAATTTTTATTATTGGTGCCCAAGATTTATTTCAAATCTTAATCAAAATTTCTTTGGAATTTTCGGAAGTTGATCGAGGCCACTGACGGCCGATTGCAGGAACGCGAATTATAATCAAAATCCTAGATTATTTGCCAAATCTGAGTTTAAACGAGAATTCTGACATTTGATTGGCTGCCTACTGCAATATAAAGCCAATCAAATGTCTTAATACCGGATTAAACAATAATCCTGGATTATTTTTTTTGTGCAACTGGCCGTGAGTTTTTCAAATTGAGACATTTCAAGTCATTATTGGGACTTTTCTAGATGCATACGAGGAAAAGTTACATGTTTAATAAGTGCAATTTGAAAAGACATTTTTTTAATTACAGGATCAAAATCACCTTGTACACTGTTAAAGAATAAATAACTGTCAGTGTCATTTTAAGATGACTGTGTAGACATGACTATCCCAAAAGACGTATAAGAAGTTATAGGGCAATTACAACGACTCAAATCCAAAAAGGTGTGTGAAAAATAGGATGATTATAAAATGTAGTTGTAACTAAATCACGCACATTTTTTGGTTTCAGCACCTTTAATAAGGTTGTGTCACCCTGTATTGTTTTAGAGTAAATCTGGTAGGTTTCTACGAATAAACATAAAGTGAATTAGTATTTCAGTATTTGCTTTTCCTTTTAGAAATGTGTAGATGCGTAATTTTTTAATTTTATCGCTTTTGTAAATTGTTCATTATATATGATGGTATTCGATTTTTCGTGAATTTCTCGGTGTAAGTGGGGATGCGGGTGGCGTTCTGTGGAAAATTATTAAAGATTATTTCATGGTGGGTGTGGTAGATCCTTTAAATACATGAGATCACGTTTAAGCTGAACTTATTATTTGGTGACGGTTTTTGAGCGCGTAATATTTCTTACACATTTATTGTGGGCAGTCGGCTCAGAATACCGTTTAAATTTTCCAGAGCTACACACAGTCACCTTAAAAAAAGGAATTTCTGAACTACTTTTATTTCAAAAATCTTTAGGCAAATCATTCCCAAACTACTCCTGGTCAAAGATGATTGAAACTTGTTAGACATTTAATAAGGGTTAATAAGAAAGGGGGAAGCACACACAAGGAAATTACCTGTTTAAGCAGTCGCTCTCAGGTCCACAAGGATTCTCTTGAAACGGATCGCATTCACACGACGTCGTATTACTCACATTAGCGTCAAACAAACGAACATTGCCGACGGGCTTATTCACTTTAACTCTAATATACGGCGGAGGTTTGGCACCATTCTTCAATTCGTCGACCTTACTCTTCCGGAAATTCTTCTTAATATTATGAACGATTGTCGCCTCTTCGATTGATTTTTTAAACAGAGCGTCCATTCTCTTCTTCGACGGACTGCAGTGGCCCTTATCTCCCTCCTGAAATAAGAAAACGCGACCGCGCCCGACCCAGTAGTGATCGTGGGTGCCGAAAAACTTGACGACGAACTCGCCCGAATTGTGAGGCAGCGCTTTCACGTTGTCCGGTACCTCGTTTGGAAATAAAATAATGGCAGGCCACCATCTGTACTTCCCCAATTTCACCCAGACGATTTCGTCGTACAAAGGAAAACGACCCGATTCGCAGTCTTCGCATATAAATGTGTCGTCATCTAGGAGATTAATGGTTAAACAGTCAGTGTGGACACTAGTGGGACATGTTTCGCAACAAATTAAATCGCCACCTTTTGAGCAAATGAAACACCATGGCGTATTTATTGTGCGCACTTGTTTGGCGTTCTTTTTTGTGGTTATGTGTTTCTTGAAATGTCTGGGACATATAATTTGCGCTGAACTCAAAATTTGGGTACCGGCCGGAATGCAGTAATTCGTCGTGTGGTACGCCGCGGGGCAATGCAAACATCTGGCCAATTTTTTACCAGATCTAGAGGTGGCTGCGCGTGGATCGTCCGATGTACACGTGTGGCAGATATGACACGGGCAAATGAAAGTATCGAGCAATTTATCTGATTTTTTATGTTTTTCCGTCGATATTAATGACCACTGCGTCTGCGGCCATAATTTGATGCACTTACGATGATAAAATTTCCCACAACTAAACAGCGAGCACTTTTGGCGCAGAGAATCATTCTTCAATGAAATATCACTTTCGCAGGCAAAGCAAGGAGGCTCGACCTTCGCAATGCAATAACCACATTGAAATACTTTCGGTTCATCCGTACTTTCCACAACATTTTTATTGACGTCGGCCACTTTAGGAATTGTGTCTTCAATTTGAGTTTGCACAGGTGTCGCTTCCTCCAAAAGTTTCCTCGGCATCACGCTTATATGATCTGCAGTAACATGCAATATTACTACTTCCTCCTCCTCCTCTTGGGGTGTATCAGCTTTTTCCAACATATTGCAGGTACTTTCTTCGGAGCTACTGTAGTCTGTTGTGGAATCCGCATATCGTGTGTCATTCTCCATACCTTGCATCACCTCCTTCATTTTAATATCAATCTGCTCAGCAATAGATAATTCGGAAAATTTTGCTGGCGCACTTGGAACCGGAGTACATTCTTTATTGACTAGCTCCTCAGTAACAGTCATACCACAGCTCACATCGGGTTTAATATCGAAATCCGCACATTTATAATGATACAGTCCCCTACAAGGTCCCTTACATTTAAAAACTTCTTTGGGTTGTTTGCAGACTTGACAGACAATGTCCCTGGAGACGCCACGAAATAAACTGTTTCGTCTCTGCCGCATGACCTCATCTTGGAACCCATCGGCGATTATTGTATTGCTACTGGACTTAGAAGCAGTATCGGTATCTGAAGAATACTCAGAATGTATGTCGTTTTTTTCGGAAAGATCAATAGTCTTCCACGGTATCTTCAATTCACTTATAGATTCATTTTCTATATCCGGTTCGGGTTTTGGTTTCAATGTTTCCTCCCCTACAACTTCTGCAAGCATTTTTTTAGTTTTCTTTTTGACTGTTTCAATCTCGGGTGAAGGGGAGCTTTTTGATAAATTTTTCGAATCTCTCCGTTTTGATATTGTAGCCGCACTATCCAGTTCTAGTTTTCCATCTATGATAGATTTGGAATCATCTTCTGAATTACTATCACCTTCTGAGGCCATTCTAGATGGCGTAGGACTAGAGGACTTCAGATCTTCACGTTTTATTTTTAGTAGCAATTGTGCTTGTTGCTCTAATACCTTTGCGAAGAAATCCAGGCGATCCTCAACACTGCATTGTAATTGCGATTCCGCTTCAGTAACCGCAATCTTCCACTTTGGTAATGCAGATGGTTTCACAATAAAATTCGCTTTATTCTAAAACAATCAAGTTTGAAAAAAGTCACAAGTGATAATAAGTAAATACCTTCGCAATTGTGAACTGTCGTTTCAAATCGTCCCCGCTTGCAAACGGAAGCAAACAGGTGGTCTGAACCCAAGATCTTCTGCCCCTGTCCCCAAAAAATCTTACATGATACATCGTCTGCAAAGCTTTTCTGGATAAAACTACAAAATTATTGTCAATTTGCTGAATGCGTCAAAGTTGTCAACCTACCAGGGCACACTTTCTGAAAAACACACGTTTCGGGTTCTTCGACGATCAGGCACGGCCAATAAGGATGGCCACCGATTTTACCCCACATTATGTCGCCAATTGCTTTTTCTGCGGGAAAAAAATGAAGATAAAACTTTATGTGAATAATTGCCTAAAAAAATTAAATCTCGACTATCCCTAATTCAAATTAATGTAATTAATATTTCTGTCTCCTTCTATCACATGGTTACATCCTTCTCTTTCACACGAAATAGTATGGTTGAAGCAATTTTAAGTAGCGCCCGAGAGAGAAACATGTGTATCGTTCCGTGTGAAAGAGAAGGACGCTGCTTGAGGTATATGCATCGATGTAAGAGACAGCGCATGCGCTCTCTCCATATGATAGAAGCAAACAGAAATATTAATTACATTAATTTTAATTAAGGATAGTCCTAACTTAATTTTTTTAGGCAACCCATATGCACTGTTTGTTCACATATTAAGATTGCTAAAAAATGATATGTCACTCAGTAAACAAATTAGCGAAGGTTGACATGTGAGATCTTGTACTATAACATTTGGAACAATTGAATCATTTTTTGTATTACTAAAGTCATATTTTGTTAACATTATTTCATAGAAATAAGACAAGTGAAGGTTTCAAGAACACCAGTCTCACCTGCACTTCCACTTAAATTAATAAATTCTTTTGTTTCTCGACACAAGGTCTATACTCAAATTGGTCATGGTGCTAGTCACAACAAAGACTCGCTTTTTGGGGTAGACTTTCACCTTGGGTCAGAAATTTTTTAATTTACCTCTGAAATAAATCTTGGGTGGTTATATCTCTGACTCTTACATTGTACAGGGTAGTTCAAATTCGTGGCTCACCATTGGGATCTCTGTAACAGTGAGAGATACGGTGTAGGTTAAATGGGGGCAAAGTTGCACGTTTTTGTGACTAAAAAACGCAATTGAAGTTTTTGAAAAATCTTTGAAAATAACTGAGGTATTACCAAAAACTGAAAATGTCAAATTTCTTTTTCATTCTCCCTAGCTTAAACAGTCGGAAATAGACGCTTCCCGTTAGGACCTTCTATGGGCATTTCTTTTCGGAATCTGAATCTGTTACAATTTCCATAACACTCTAGATGTAGAAGCCACAGGGTACTACTTTCTTGTTTCTTATTGACTTAATTCTCTATTGAATAACTATCCAAAAAAATTCCAACTTATAAAAGCCCAAATTGAGAAAAAATTCCAGCAATTAAAAAGGTCCAAAAGATTACAAAAATTTGAATTTCAACAAGTGATTAAAAGAAGATTTTTTAGAAATTCAGGGAAAGGGATTGAGAATTTGTAAAATTAATGAAAATTTGTTTTGCTCTACTAAAAAATTTGGAAAATTAAAATGAATTGAAAGAGATAGGTAGCAAAAATTTAAATGGAGAAAAATATGGATTAGAAATTGGCGTACTGAAAAATCAGAAGATTTTTGAAAATTTGAATAATGTATAAAATTATAGAAAAAAAGTGTCATGTCAATTTAAGCAATAATTGAATTGCTTGAAACCCCACTGTGTTTACGCGAATAAGTATTTATTTGTTTTAAATGGATGACTGTTACATAAATAATTCAATTAACATGCAATTTCAAAAAAAATCTTAAAAATTAAAAAAAAGTGCATACATAGAGGTTTGTCCGGACATAAAAAATCAAAAAATTTGAAAACAATTATAAACAAAATTTTAGAAAGTGTACACAAAATTAGGTGTATGCAAGACGAAACAATAAAACTATATGTACGCCAAGATAGTATTTCAAAAAAAAATTCAAATGCATTATATTCAGAGATGGTATATTCTGAAATATTCACAAAATGCTAACAGTGCACAAAAAGGACACTATAATGCAGAAACGAAAATTAAAAAAATTTAAGAATTATTCCCAGCATCTACAAAATTAAGTAGGTAATAAAATTAGATAGAATGGAAGATTTTCGTAAAAATAAGATCTTTGCACAAATACTTCTCACCCACACCATGACGGTAAAACATTTGGATTACCTTAATATTGTTTCATTCAAAAAACTTGTAGCAGGACCTGATAATGACAATCGTCGAAATCGATACCATTAGAAAAAATCATAAACGTTTAATTGTTTTCCTTATACATTACACTTTTAAATATAATTGATTTCATGAAGCAGTTTTAAAGAAAATCGCTTAAAAATGAAATTATTGGTAACAAAAAAGTCTCATGGCCACGCATTCCTATTCTAGTGTGTGCGACTTGAGGTGGCTCTCTTATCTTGAACGCACTGTATAAAGCCGAGCCTGCGGTCTACAGCATTTTATTACATGTAACTTTTCCACCTTTTGGCAAACAAAGTACTTTGAAAAATCTTCAGATAAGGTATGCCTCATTCTACTGTCAATACATGGTTCTTTTAATTTTACTTAGCTAACTGTTGAATTTTGTCCACAAGTAAAAGTTCAGTACCTTTTTTTGAAGCAATAGTGGCTCAGTTGTAAGGGGAAAATTGGCACAGCAGGTAGACTACCTAAATGAAGTTGTACATACCTTGACCGGTGATAAAAGGTTATAAGGAGGATTATACAAATAAAGGACGTGACGAAGGTCGTGATGAACTGAATGTTTTATGGTGACAAACAGTTGTCAGAAATTTAGCTCTGAATGTAAAAAATAAAAGAAAATTAGCGTTTATTTTATTTACCCTAAATTGTTTTACGGGTATCGGATTGCGCATGCGCAAAAATAATTTATTTGATTTGGCATTAGTTTTCCCTTTAATCGAAATGCCTACATAGAAAAAAATTTTATTTAAATATTTTAACAAATAAAAAAATTTGATTACGCAAATAGAAGAGTTATCGTGCACAACTACACACGGACAGGCAGACGGAGACAGGTAGGAATACAAAATTATAAACGATCTCGAGGATCTTTAATAAACGGCAAAAATGTAAAATTATTTTTTCGTAAGTGACACAAAAAAAATTCCTTCCTTCGTGCAAGCCTCGACACCATAACGAACCAAATAGCGTAGAACAATTTAGCTCTCAAAAAAAAACAAATAGCGACTGAACGGTTGTAGGGACGGACAGACGGGCGGACAAAGTGGCCACAATAACGCATTTTTTTTAATTTTTGTGAAATGCGCTAAAATTGTTTGGAATTGATTGATAGTATTGAGGAAATAATGGAATGGTCTATGGGGGAAGCAAAGAAGAAACTTTAAATATTGCATACGAAACGCCTGCAGCTAAAAGGCGCAATACCACCAGCACACCTGCACATGCGCGTTTTGGCCAAAAGCTTTTCAGCAATCAGTTCAAGCGTTTATCCGGAAACCGAAATAGAGTACAGACAGAGCGACAGAATCAAGATTTTTTAAAATTCGGATTCCTGGTGCTTCAAAATGAGTATTTCCGCCAAAAAGGAAGGGAGGGAGGGGGGGCATTTTATAGCCCAATGCAATACCTCCCTTACTAACGTGCGGGTGGTAAAAAAGGCGTTAAACTATAATACACACAGCGGATCCTTAAAATGAATTATTTAAATATTTATTTAAGTGCAATGAGAAACAATACTTACCTTAGATTGCTTGTACTGCATTAAACATTACAATTATAATAAGCGCCCTTAGCCAAAAATTATTTCCAAGCAAAGACAAATTTGGGTTTTGTCTTTCACACTGGATCAAACAAGAGGGGAAAGTTCACAGGACAGTCTGTACTTTAGCGAGGACCAATAGAGAAACTAGTGATAAAAGTAGTAGCAGTCGCGCAAGTAAGTAAAACATTTTTTTACACGTTTGTTTGGTGTGCGCATGCCGAAAACTATCCAATGTTTAATCATATTCCCAAGTACGTTTTACCTACTTTTTTACCCACCCGCAAAAAAGTCAGGGTTTTCCAAAATAATCTATTTTTCAAATGAATACTTACTGAATATCGATCAAACTTACCCTTTTTAGCCCTTTCCTCAAGGTCGTCCATTTCATCTAGGCATTCCTGTTTAATTTCCCGACTGATATCAACCGGCTGTGTATCCACGACAATTTTTCTCGGCCTTCCCTTTTTACGCTTCTCCACCACGACGTACTTCTCAACCTCGATCACCTCCGCCACGTCCTGCTCCACAATCTCCACCGCGGCCTCACTGCAATCTGTGGTTTTCGATTCCACGTGCCCGGAACTAATCGATCGTCTTGCGGCCGTCTTTTTCCCATCGCTTCGCTTAGAAATCGGCTGCGAATGCGTGCGTCTGCGCATCAGTGATCTGACGGGCGACGTCGCGACGGGTGTTGTGTACTTGCGTTTCAACAACGGCTTGTCGTGACCTTTTTTGACCAAGGACAAGAGTTGCCGTCTTCTTTTCGCGATGTTCGTTGAGAGTACACTGAAGTCACTCGACTTTAACAGCACGTACGGTTGCATTCTTTTAATTGGTGAATGAAGTTTCCTTCTCAATTTTTGGCCTTCTACCCTGTTCACTTTACGCCGTGGTGAAATTGATTTATTCAATTTTCTTGGTTCTGGTGACGAATCCGATTTGTGACTATCATCAGAGTTCATTTTAGTTTGTGCCTGCTCATTTCCTTGTTCCCCTTTGGAATTAGGCATTGGTTTCAGTGACTGATTACTTAATAATGACCTTGTGACCTTCACAGTTATATCCTGATCAGTTGACGCTTTCTTTGGTACCTGATCACCAATTGAAGACCTACCAACGTGTTTTTTTGTCAACTCTTGGGCAGTACCTGACATTAGCCATTGACCAACCGAAGACCTTGTAACCTTTACAACCACATCCGAATGTGGCTTAGTATCATGTCCATCAGTGGAGGGTTGCTTTAGCGACTGATCACCTGTTGAAGCCCTTGTAACCTTGGCAGATAGCGACTTGCTTCTTTGTCTACCCTCGTTAATTGGTTTTGGTAACTGAACAGAAGACCTTGTGACTTTCGGAGTGACGCCGAACTCTGACTTAGTATTTTGCTTCTTGGGAGACACTTCCTCAATTGCCGACTTAGGTCGACCAGTCGAAGATCTCGTCACCTTTGCCTCCGACTCAGTTCTAACACTTTGCTTTTCTTCAATGATCGAGTTTGCTCCAATTGAAGATCTTGATTTAGCACTCTTCTTTTCTTCAATGGCTGAGTTTGGTCCTGTTGAAGATCTTGTAGCTTTTACATCTGACTGTGGTTTAAAATTTTGCTTTCGTTCAACGACTGGATTTGCTAATCGATTGCCAGAGGAAGATCTTGTCACTTTTATACCCAACTGTAGTTTTGGATCTTCCTTTTGCTGCATGACCAACTTTGCTACTCGAGTGCCAGACGAAGGTCTTGTAACTTTTGCATCCAACTGTGGTTTAGGATCTTCCGTTAGATCAATGATTGCATTTGGTAACTGAGTACTACTCGAAGATCTTGTAACTTTTGCATCCGATTTTGATTTAGGATTTTGATTTTGGTCAACGACTGAATTTGGTCCAGTTGAAGATCCTGTAACTTTTACATCCGGCTGCGATTTGGAACGTCGCTTTTGCTCATCAGTTGAAGACCGTGTGACCTTTCCAATTACAGTTGATTGTGACTTACTTCTTCCTCTTTCATTTGTGACTTCTTCAATAAATGGCTTCGATAACTGCCCAAAAGACCTTGTGATCTTTGCAGTTACATCCAATCCAGTCTGAGTATCTTTCGAGTCTTCCACTTTCTTCTTCTTTGCCGAAGTGCGCTTCTTCACTTTATCTGGAGAAATGCCCTGCACGCAATTTCCTTGCTTTTTAACAACCTTTTTCTTCGATTCCTCACTACTTTTTGGATTTTCCCGCACATTCTCAATACTGCTTGATAGTTCTGAAAGCTGAATTTCATCCAAATTAACTTTCCTCAATTTTGATGCGACTATGATGTTTTCAACATCCTCATTCATTTCTGTACATTTAGATTTCCTTTCGGTTACCTTGTTTGGGGTGTTACTTGCTATATCAATATTATTCACGTTCTCAGTGGTGCTCATTAGTCTTAAAGTCGAAGCTAACCTTCTAGGAGATTTTTTGCCGGGTGGCAAAAATTTTGGTTTTTCTTCCCTAATTTTAAGATTGGGGCTTAACAGTTTGGGCCGGTCATCCGACATCTTCAGCTTAGATGATACTTTATTGGGCTGCTTCTTCAACTGCTTTGGCGTAGACAAATCATTGTCACCAATCCCTGGAGAAAGTGTCTTATCACTCACGGCTTCACAGTCCTGTGATGAGTCTGGAACTGAAATCTCTACGTGACTCTGAGTTTGGGTGTTACCCTCAGCACTTGTGGAGTTCACTTTCCCTCCTTTCGATCTTCTTGGACTAGGTGGAATTTTGATCTGATCCGCACCAAGGAATGTACTGTCAGGCTCAAACTCAACACTCGACTCAATAAACATTGAAGGAACTTCATTTAGTATTTTAATCGGAGAGGTCATCGTATCCTCTTGATAATCATCACAAGTAGATTCCATTAACAAATCAAGATCCGGTATTTCAGCATCCATACTCGCAATCTTCCAAGGAGTGTGGAGTAACTTTTTGTCTACCAAATTAATGTCATTTTCTGAACTTGGAGCGGCCACATCTAAGCTTTTTATACGTTTAGGTTCACTTCCGCTGACCTTATCATTGTCCACAGGAAAAATTGGGGTATCAGGCAAACCGAAGCTCTCCATTACTGCCAATTTATTGTAACTTTTGCGTTTGTTGCTATAAGTTTTTAATACAGGCTTAGCATTCGCCTTCACGTCCGTACTAAGTTTGTCATCAACGTTTTTAGTGGAGATAATTTTCAAAACTTGAGTTACATCGACGGATTCTAAATCTAAAGGTTCCTGCACCACTTCTGCATCACACTTTAGATCCACTTTAGGCACGACATCCACATTATGTAAAACCGACATACCACTCTCACTTTTGAAAAAATTGTGTATGGCTTTGGAATTGGAATCCGGGACCTCCACAACTTGCTCCTCCAGCTCTAAATCCGCAGTAACATGCTCAAACTTCAATCTCTTGTTATCATTTACTTTTTTATTATTATGCGATATGCTTTGTCGTGGTTTTACCACTTTAGGCAAGGAAGGAGGAGGCTGAGGTCGGGGAACTATCTTCTTGTTCAAGTCTTCGAATATGACATCTATGTCGTAAAAGTCCTCTGTGATTTTCGGTTTCCTTGTACGTCCGTAGCGACTTTTTGACACTGGACTTGGTAACTCCGCACTTAAATCGCTGTCAGCAATATCCGAGCTAATTGCTTCATTGCTCGCGTCCATCCTTGTTGAGTGCTTTAACAATTACAATAATTAGAATGTGAATAAAACTGCCTGATACAAAGAGGTTAACTCAAAATTTGATGGAGACGAAGCGGCATTTTTACTTACTGTATAAAGTGTTAACTATTATCACATTACGTTAAATACTAATTTAAATTAAGAAACTCATCGTGTACATTAAACTATCTCTGTAATTAGCATCTTCTCGACATTGCGAATCGTTTGACAACATAACAGCGACCGGAATGAAGCTAGCTGATGGCCATATGGTTTCCCGCCAAAAAAGATTTGTGAAGATATACGCAAATAACCGCATCTTATTATCAAATAATTAAAAAGCGACAATCACTAATGCAATAGTGCGGTACGTTAACTCAATCCACAAATAAATTGAATGCAAAATCGTTAAAAATTCTAAATAAATTAGCACCTAATTATTATGCAGTGGCGTATCGTTGGGAGACACGTGGAGCCAGATAGATTTACAGCTTTCTACCTTTCTAGCTTTTTAAAAGCGTCTTTCGAGCCTCTTTTCCACTTAATTCACTTGGTCCTTCTTCACAGCTCCTTCTTACACACCACCTACAATATATCTTTCACACGTTTTCTTCTATCTTACTTTATTCCATCGAACCTCCCTCAAAGGAGAGGGAAGACCATGAGGCTGGCCCAAATGGGTCAAACTGCTCCAACAGTCACCTTTAACCACCCCCGTCACCCAACCTCCTGACCCAGAGGCAGGCTCCTACAGCTAACTCCCTTAGAATCCTCTTTGTTCTCCTTTCTAACCTTTTACACCCTCTCCCCCACACTCATCTCTGCAGTCACTAGCTCACGCATTTTTGAGTATGCTTCAGCCCTCTTCAGGCTTCTATCGACGGTTTTTCCACGTCTCATTTCAGCCTTAATTTCGCCTTCTTCGTGCGCCTGTGCCCTATAGACAGCTCCCTCCGGCTGGTCCGAGCTTTCTCAATGCTTTTTGTGAACCTTTCTTAGCCGCTCGATGTCTCCGTGCTTTTTTTCACACCTTCATAGCATCTTCTTCACATCTTCTTCATGCCTGTCCCGCGCTTTAGTCAAGACCTTTTCAAGCCCTCTAGAAACCTATAACTCAAGCTTTCTTTAGCGATTTTTACGCATTCTTCAAATCTTCTTCACATTGTTACGAGCCTTCTCCACATCGGGCATCAACGCCTCCCTTACCCCATGCCTCTTCACGTTTCCCTCGGCTCTTCTTGTCGTTACGCCTCCTTAGAGACTTGTGAACCACGCTTTCTTCCAGCATTCCAATGCCCCTTTGTACCCTGTTTGATGTTTCGAGCTTTGCCTTCTTGGAACATTTTATACGCTACATTGGAGTCCTATCTTTAGAGTCTTCTCGAGGTTTCTGTCAACCTCTATCAATACTCCCCCTGGTCCTTCTACAATGGCAAGACAATGCCTTTATTTATTTAAGCTTCGAGAAGGTTTCGGGAGGAGCAGATAGGTATGAACGAGATCGAAGGCTTGAAGGTGGCACCGAGAGCGTCGAAGGAGACGTGAATAAAAATCTAATAAGAAGGCAACGAAGAAGGTAAGGAGTCGTAGAATATTCTCTGGTGTTCTTGAGTACATCTCAAAGCAACTGCTGGTATATAATTAAATCTCCTAAAGACCCTGTGTATGCAAAACATTGTCGAGAGGTGTTTGGAGGGTTGCATTTTTGTGTTGTTAAGGCGAAAAGACTGCAACTCGCGAGTCGCGCATGACAAGTTGAGGGTGCGCTGTGTTGTGTTTATTTACTGTTTACGTTTTTCCTTTTGCTGATGTTTTGGTGAAATTAAGCAAATAATGGACAATTTCCAGCTTAAAAAACAAAAGGCGGAGGGTAAGTTTATTTAATTATTATTTTTATTATAAAGTAAAAAAGGAATAATTTCAATTGCCATTATGTTAACAATGATTTGAACTACCAGATGGCAGCAATTGTTTGTCGGTCTGTCAGTTTTCTTCTTTCACGTGTGTTATTGAGGTTAAGTTGCAGTCGTTTTTAAAAGTATTTAAACAAATCTGCAAATTATGTTACGAAGACAAGCGCGGTTAAGACGCGAGTATTTGTATCGCAAAACGCAAGAAGATAAACAAAAAAGTATACAGGATAAGAAGGATCGAATAAAGAAAAGCTTAGATCAAAACATTGCTATCCATGGCGATTTAAGGAAATCGGCAATAAGTTACCAAAGGAAATTGGAATGGGAGGATTCGGGACCTCAAGCAGCAGTGGCAATTGGTGGGGAAAGCGGCGGTGCTTTTGCCAACTCTCAGGATGACGAGTATCGATATGCTGGTGTTGAAGATCCGAAAATTGTCATTACAACGTCTCGTGATCCCAGCTCGCGATTGAAGATGTTTGTAAAAGAACTGCGACTAATATTTCCTAATGCGCAACGTATGAATCGTGGCCACTACGAAATGAAGGAGTTAATGCACGCGTGTCGTGCAAATGATGTCACCGATTTCATCATGGTGAGTGAGCACAGAGGTGAACCGGACGGTTTGATCGTCTGCCACTTGCCATACGGACCAACGGCATACTTCACCATGTCTGATGTTGTCATGCGACACGACATTCCCAATATCGGATCGATGTCCGAGCAGTACCCTCACCTAATTTTTCACAACTTCAAGACACAGTTGGGCGAACGAGTAATGTCGATACTAAAATATTTGTACCCTGTTCCTAAGGAGGATGCCAAACGAGTGATTACATTCGCGAATCACGATGATTACATCAGTTTTCGGCAGCACACATTCAAAACTGTTGATAGACAGGTGGAATTGAGCGAAGTCGGGCCTAGGTTTCAGTTAAAATTGTACGAAATTAAATTAGGTACAATTGATGCCACGGAGGCCGCTGATACGGAATGGGCTTTGAGACCTTATATGAACACGGCACATAAACGTAGATTTTTAAGTGACGATGATGGTTGGAAAGAAGAAGAGTAATTGTACAGTAATTGTTATAAATGATTAAAGAATTTTTGTATAATTATTTTTTATTGTATACAGTGTGTTTAAAACTTTTGTTTCTACATATTCATGTTGGTTATACAATTTTCAAGCTAGTAATATTGGATCAAACCGATTTTGTCATATTCTACAGTAAAGTAAATTGGAATAATTTTAGGATTGACCAAAAACAACCTACTGTTGAAATTTCAAAAATCTCTAAGCATTCTAGTCTCAATTCCAATACACCCAGACCAAAAGATACCTACAGATTCGTAATGAATTTGTGTGGCCAACACTGCAAAACTCGTCGCCTTTGTACAGGTAATATTTGTGAAGAAAAAGATAAGTTTTGCGGTGGCTATCTGCGTGATTGACGTGACTGTTTTTATACTAGAATAGCAATAGTGAACCTATTGCAGTCTGCTACTTACCCTAAACTTCCCAAGAAACTGTTGATAACATGGCTATCTTTGTTATTATTATACTTAGAGATTCGGTTAAATTGGCATAGTTATGGTTTGATGCTGATGGAAATTCCGATGCGATATATTGAAAAAAATTAATTGTTTTGTAGATAATTGGAAAAAAGTGAAAATAGTCATTTTTAAAAAGTTCAAATATTTTAGTAACAAAGAGAGCTATCAAAAAAAGGTTCAGGTAAAAGTGGCAAGATTTGATGGGATAAATTCAATGGGTGTAGAAACAATTTTTTCAAAATGGCGGTTTTCGAGATATTGACATCAACTTCCTTATTTTAAATGGACGCCATATTGGATTTTTACGTCACTCGATAGAGACAAAAATTACAAAACCAGTGATACTAAATACTTAGTATTTCATTTGGGAGTCAACCTTGAATTTTTGTCTTGAAGTTTACAATGTATTTCTTATGGCAATAATTCCCTCTGTTGCCCTGTTGACTATGCGAGTCAATATAAATGAACGAATTTGGTTTTAATCACAATCAGCCATGGATTGTGATCGGGGATTAATACAGTAGATCCTCCACAAGCAGTGCTGTGCGGGTGAGGGGTACTGTATAGGCAAGGTAATGGGGAATTTTAATGTAAAATGCGCACCTAGCGGGCATGAAAGCAACAGAACACAAAGCGGCGGAAAAGTGTAAAAATAATTAATGAAACAGAAAGTAACTAAAAGCTCACATTGAAGTTAACAGAGCGGTAGCCAAAAGTTGCTAGCTAAAAGCCAGTTCTAATGAATACGGGTAACTTAATTCAAAAGCAAAATAAAACGGTACGGAGTGTTGCAGAGGAATCCCTGATTGTGTATGTCCGATAGATATTGTCGCACGATTGGGGTGTGTGCGTGGGTACACCATCCTGTTGAAAACAACAAGTTCCAACTTTTGTTTTTTCTTTTGTGTGCGGTACATCGATGTATTTGTAATAAAAAATGTTACTAAATACAATATACATGTTTTACAGGTCATGGAAAAAATAAAATTGATGTGGATTTCCATGGAACGAAACGTTGTAGTGAAAATCTCTCAACGCTGCCTTCTAGAGCTTAAATAGTGACCATAAAGCAAGTTGTTTTTTTTTGTATCTGTTCAAATAACGTCGCGAAAAAATGTTTAAAAAATGTTTCTTAAAAGATTCACAAGAAATACACTTTTGTTAGCAAATGGTGCACAATGGGGTCATCCCGCCTTCATTTTTTATTTCTGATCCACAAAGTACATTAAAAATAAAAAGACCCGTGTGTCCTCAATTTTTATTTGCGAGTAAAATAAACCCAAAATAAATGATTGAAAAGCTGTGTTTTTAGTCCGAATTTGAAACGCTTCAGACTAAATACGTCACAAACCTACAACCAATCACGTAGAAGTGAGCTGGCAACCTTACGCGAGGGTCTGACGTTTGTCACATTTGACGTTTTGAGAGGGATGTTTAACTGCATCTAGCACGAAAGTGACAAGTGCCTGTGACAGATGACGCAAGTTATAAATGCCATTCTCCTGCAATATTGCCAAGTCGTTATGTCATCTGAATGGTTCTAGGAGCTGATTGGTCGGGCTTATTACGTCACAGAGCCCGCCACAATCATATCGTTTTGAATAAACCTTTAAAACCGCACATGTTCATTATTTTTTTGCTAATCAGCCTCTATTTTTAAATAAACTTTTACTGTCCAAAAAAATGTTTTATGGTTTCAGGTACACGCTTATTAAATTAGAACTGCGGAATTCAACTATACTGTAAACCCCCATTGTGCTTTGCTGGGGGACGGGGAGCGCACACAGGCTAGACTATAGGTCCCAATGTTCGGCTAATCCGTCCTGCTCCCCATGGCAGTTCCAACGCTATAGTAGAGAAAGGGTGACCGTCTCTTTTTTAAATGTGTCTCACCCCGCCATTCCACACCCAAACAAATTCAAGTTGTATTTCTGTGTTTTTACAGATTTGGAGGTGACTGGTGTCTCTAGAAGCGGTAGAGTTCGTAAAAAATCATCGAAATTAATGGACTTTGAATCCCCCGATGAAATAGACAGAAATTACAAACGTCAAAACGCAGCGCCACGTAAGCATTCCGATCAATTCGATTTACTCTCGCCGCGATCGAACAGAGATGTTAAACCATTTCCTTCGCCGCAAAAATCCGAAGAGGTAAAGTGGCTTACTCTGCTTGCTCAGTTTGAAACACTTTGTCTAGGAATATCCGTACGACGATATGGATCCACATGGTAGTGGATCAGAGTTCGACAGCGAAACGTACGACGATGGCAATCAACCGGAATCTTCCGAAGATAGCATGGGATCGGAGACCGATTACGAGGACTCGCCTGAACCCGCAGGTTTTCGTAGGCTGGATCCCGACGCAGATAACTTAGGAAACCAAAGTCTGTACATGGCGGAGAAGTCCGCGAAGAAGCGGCTGGTGATTAAGGATGGAAAAATCGTCGGACGCGCAAAGGCCCAAAGGAAAGATAAAGGTTTCTGTTACAAGTTAACGCTTAAGTTTGTTATCGGACTTTATCTGTAGGCAAAACACGATTTACAGCGTACATGTTATGGGCACGCGATGTTCGTGCCGATCTTTTAAAATCTAATCCTTCAATGGATTTCTCGCAAATATCTAAACGTTTAGGTGAACTTTGGGCGACAGTGCCCTCTACTGAAAAGTTTACCTGGCGGCGTCGAGCACGACGACTCAATTCAAAACCTATTGCAGAACAGCAAGATCCAAAATTCAAAAGCACAGGCAAGAGCGGAAATAAGTTCATTAACAAAAAAGGCGGGGGTGCCGGAGCGGTCCAGAGTCCGTCGTCCACATTCCAGCTGGAGCTGCCGTCACTTGGAAACATAAATAACTCGCCGCCCAGTCCACGAGGGAGGGAGTCCAACTTAATCTTCAAGTCTACCGGGATAAAACCAATCGATGTCGCCGCGCATTTGAAGCTTCTAGGCGAAAGCTTGACGATTATAGGCGAACGACTTAAGGAGCATGAGGTATGTTTCACACACGCCTTTTGTACTTGTTTCGCTTACTTAACAGTTTTAGGGACAAATTGCGGTATCTGGTAGTTTATCTGTGCTTCTTGACTCTCTGTTATGTGCCCTTGGTCCATTGCTTTGTCTAACTCAACAGGTGCCCGAGTTACAAGGGAGCAGCTGCACTACTGAACAACTTGCTACGATTTTGGATAATGTAGCTTTTATCATGCCCGGATTGTAAATTATAAACATTAATATTATTTAAAATAAATAATTAATTTCGCTTTATTGTATGATTTAAATTACACTGCGACTACTAACCACTAGTACTTCTGTTTGGCCGTACCACATTCCTAAAAATCAAACTTTTGTGTCGTTTAACCTGTGTAACAGTAAACTTACACGTGCACGGTGTCTTGCTTTCGGTGAACACGGTCTTATGGAAGCACACCAAGTACCCAATGGATGACATTGAGGAGGAGGAGATAGTTGCATTTGACAGGGTTTAAAACCGGTTGGGCATGCCATTTTGCGATTGGTACGATTTTTTTGTAGGTCTTCTGGACAGTTTGGAAATGTGCCTCCTACGGTTGTCGCATTGTACGGCAGGTTTCTTTTTTTTGATGGTTTGTAATCGAATTCGTGCCCTGTTTTGTGATAGTCAATATTATAATTGTTATAGAAATTATAAGCACGAGTTCTTAAGCCTTCTACTTCATTATCGTACACCTAAAAAAGAGATGACATTATTTCTCCGCTGTTACTCCAAATCACCTTGAGAATGTTATCATGAAAATGACAAGCTATTTTGGATCATACTACTTTGACTGGTGAGCAGGAATTTACAGATCTCTACCATTGACTTACTTTCATGCAAATTAAATTCAGGTTTAAAATTTACGCAGAGGGAAGAGTAGTCCAATAAGTGAAGGCGGGTTTAATGAAATAAATCAGGTTTGATTACATTTTCCAAACCATTGCGAGAAGAATGATTCTTGCATTACATTTTTTTATTAAATGAAAGCTGCACCAATTTTAGTATTTGTAATAAAATTTCGGAAAAATGGAACATAGTCCAAGCCCCAGAGGATTTGACCTTGCAAATTTCTGAGACAAAGAACCATGATGCAGGGTTTATGTTTTTTGGGTCGCTGAATCCGAATTTGACATTTGCACAAAAATCCGGATGACGCGGGAGCCGCCATCTTGGAAAAATGGCGGAAAATCGGCGTTTTTTTCCACAAAACGCGAAATAACTCATTTGGTATCGGTTTTTTGGCGAAGAAACATCAGTAATAAATTAATAAGTACATAAAATTTCCTTTGAGATGAGCCTTTGTTCATGAAAATCGGATAAAAACTAACGCCATTACAGTGCGACGAAATTCGGCCCAAAAATGACGTTTCGCAATTTTCAAAATTTCGCGCGCATAAAACGGAACTGACGTTATTCACGAGCAGTAAGCTCTCTGAATGTGAGGAGCTTTTAAAGAACACCCAATTGAATCCATAATTTTAGCAATCAATGACGTAAGATTGCTTCTTTTAGTGTGGTTTTTTGATTTTTTATATCCTTATTGGCTGTTTCGTCAGAAACTCGGCATTCGTTATTCAAATGCATAATTGGGCATTTCATAAAAGAGAACCCACTTTTTTGCTACATTTCAAAACCATGGCCCATATGAATAAAAGGGAGCAAATGCTTAGACTTGCAAAATTCAAGGAAATACTCGTAAGAGCCCCTTCACACTTGGCGACTTAGCAGCGCTGTTGAGCAGCGGGACGAGACGCAGCGCAGTTTGAAGGGGCTCTTACGAGTATTTACTTTAAATTTTTCAAGTATAAGCATATATGCTTCCTTTTATTCATATGGGCCCATGTATCTCCATCGAACAGTTCAACCAGGATACGTGGTTTTGGAATGTTGCCAACAAATCGTTTGTTTTTCGCGTATTCCCGTCAAATTTTGCTGTCGGATTTTCCTGTTGATAGAACATAACGTCCTGCTGTCCAGCTGTTGGAATACTACGGCCGTTTGCACCGAAAAATTTAAGCTAAACTTAGCTTAAGGGTAGCTTCAAAATCCATAACAACCATTGTCTCAATAATCGTTGTCATGGATTTTAAGCAACGCTTAAGCTATAAGCTCAGCTTAAATTTGTCGGTGCATAATGGCCATTAGTTATGTTCTTCCTTTTTTCCAGTGCGTTTTCGGCTCGGTTTTCGGTGATTGAGCGTTCAATATGGAACCAGAAACCATAAAAAAGTGTTTCATTTGTGAGAAAGACTTAAATAATGGTGTAAGTGTAGTGCTTCAGCGCGGAATAGAAACCCTTATAAATCCCAGCAAAAAGCGAAAAGACACAACAGTCCAAGTTTAGAAAAAAGAATCGAACAGGGACAGTACAGAGGTTGACAACCCTTGTTCGTATTATTAACTTTTCTCAATCACTATCCTTACTTGACCAACAACAAACCATCCTCTACAAAACCAGAACGACCACCAGCATGATCTATATGATGTACCTCTGACGATCCCTATTGGATTGATAAACTCCCAATACTTCATCGGATTGCCAGCATTTACTCACTCCATACGATGGGTGGATATAGGTCTCATCCAAGTATATAACAGGTCTCTTAAGTTTCTTAAATAGGTACCGAGAACGCCATGCTACGATGTCACTTCTTCCATTAACAACCTACGTTTATCATGATACTTTTTATACCAAAAAATATCAAAAAGTTTCAACAATTCCTTGCTTCCACCCGTATAGTTGATCTTTTCTTGCATTTTTTCTACGAGCACATTCAAAGTTGACATCCTCGTTGGTAATCTACGGTCCTACTGTATACATTTTTTGTACAGTTCTTAAAATACACAGATCAACTTAATCAAAATCGACTCAACCTGAGCGGCGGGGGTTTTAGTGAGTAAGGCGTTTTGAATCATTCAATGCAGAAATCGTGTTGTAAATTGTGAATAAAAATTTTAAAACTTAGGCATGATCTTGATACTCATTTCAGCGTGAATGCGCTAATTTCGGCGAAAGAAGTAGGTTCGGGCGATTAAAGTGGAGGACTGCAAAATTCAGCAAATTTTCGATGTTATCGAAAAAACTTTGAGACGATGTTGCGATATCAATTTTCGTCCGATTTAAACAAACTTTGGGCTTATTTTAAAGGTAATTGGATGTTCTTCAAAAGCTCCTGGAGTTCGGAGAGCTTACTGCTTGTGAAACACGTCAGTTCCGTTTTTTGCGCGCGAAATATTGAAAATTGCGAAATCTTCATTTTTGGGCCGAATTTCGTCGCACTGTAGTGGCGTTAGTTTTTATCCGATTTTCATCAACAAGAGCTCATCCCAAAGGAAATTTTATGTACTTTAATTTATTACTTTTTTTCGCCAAAAAACCGATACCAAATGAGTTATTTGGGGTTTTGTGGAAAAACTGCCGATTTTCCGCCATTTTTCCAAGATGGCGGCTCCCGCGTCATGCGGTTTTTTGTGCAAATGTCAAATTCGGATTCAGCGACCCAAAAAACATAAACCCTGCATCTTGGTTCTTTGTCTCAGAAATTTGCAAGGTGGACCCCTGTTTTGAGCTCTGGGGCCTGGACTAACAACCTGGTTCTTCATTGTTATAGTAATCTGTCTAGTTATATTAAAAATCAGGTACAGGAAAATCATGTTCCTTGAAAAATAGTACCATATTGAAAAAATAAAATTATAGTACATTATCATACAGTGCTGAGTAATGAGATGTTTGATAAAACAAAGCAAATCACGGGTTGATCTGCAGACCGACCACACTAGGCTCAACTCCATGAACCTAAGTTACATCGGTACTGGAATACAGAATTCGCTTTTTGAACTGAAAGCAAGTATAGGTATACCAATCAAGATGTATATGAGTCAAAGCGTGTAACCTAGCAACGTTAGGCTAATAAAACAGGCAAGCAAAAATTTTGTAAAACTTCAGTCAAAAATTTTCTAGTGCATCGACCAAAATTATAAATATGCCTAATTGCTGCGGCTGCCCTCATATAAAACCTTTCACGCCACCGCTAACACCTTGCGGAGTACCTGCGTATCAAATACCATATTGTTTTCCTGTAAAACCTCCACCGTTCACATGCACCCCTTGTGCTGGGCCGTGTTATGTTCCATGTCCTCTGTGGGTCGATAGCCCTAAACGTAAGTAATTTGTGTGGGAACTTTACAATCATTTACAAATTGTTTTCAGAATCACAGGATGCGTGTCAATAGTCTAAGAGAATCTATCATTGTAATTGTGTTTTGAAATAAAAATTCCTAATAAATTTTCATACTGAAGTAATAGAGATGCTTATTTCTATTTTGAAAATACAAAAAATTTTACCTCATTGGAACAGGCCGAGGCCGGTGCCGGCATTTGCAGGGGCTTAACGTATTTCGGCTCGGTTGGCACAACCGCGCATGGCGGATCTAACATACAGACCTGCAGAAAAGGGAAAGATGGGGACGACATCTGGGGACAACGGGTCGAACAACACCTACAATTTCTTTGATACTCTTTTATATGTGCGCATCCTTTATCTTACCCCCTATCATCAATCTGATTGACAATACCTTTCAATTGGTTTAAAAGTGTGGCCATTTTTCTACTTAGAATTTCTCTATCTCGTTGACATATCAAACTTCAAATATAATGTTTCTGATTGAAATGTCGTAAGGAATAAATAAGTGGAGATTTGATAGATAAGTAGGCCTGTATTTAAAATTATTCAGCCACTAGATTTTCAATGGATAATTTTTGCGGAGAGACTTATATGGGCCACACCAATTGGTATAGTCACCGATTTGTTAATTTAGTGGGCTAAACCCATCCGATTGTGTGGGTTTTGATTATTAAGATGTATCAAAAGGTAGCTGTCGATAAAAAAATTACACCAACAAAATTTAGGTTGATTAATTCCAAAAAGGAAGAGACTTGGTAAAAATCCCAATACTATTATAGGTTTAACTAGCATTCACGCAGTGGTATGGTATAGTTTAGGATTTTATATAATTACTTATTTTGACTGTGAATTGTGAAAATTTGGTAATTCTAGTCCATAACTTTTGATTGAGACGTCTGATCGAAAAAGTACGAATTGTTTTGGATTCTACGCACCCAAATTAATAAGAAAAAGTGTTTTCCCGAGAAATTTTGGTGCAGTCGATTTTTGGTAAAAAAGGAAGGTTATACACTGCCTTTTTTTGAGCCCCGAAAAAAAAATTGTCTCAGATCGACCCGGAAAAAAAATTTTCTTATAGAATGTGGCCTGTAGAATCCATAATTTCAAACAGTTCCAAGATTGGGCTACTAGTTCAAAAGTTACAGCCCTTTGAATTTTCTTTCGAAATTGGTTTCTAGTCTATAACTTTTGATTGAGAAGTCTAATCGAAAAAGTACGAATTGTTTTGGATTCTACGCACCAAAATTAATAAGAAAAAGTGTTTTCCCGAGAAATTTTGGTGCAGTCGATTTTTGGTAAAAAAGGAAGGTTATACACTGCCTTTTTTTGAGCCCCGAAAAAAAAATTGTCTCAGATCGACCCGGAAAAAAATTTTCTTATAGAATGTGGCCTGTAGAATCCATAATTTCAAACAGTTCCAAGATTGGGCTACTAGTTCAAAAGTTACAGCCCTTTGAATTTTTTTTCGAAATTGGTTTCTAGTCTATAACTTTTGATTGAGAAGTCTGATCGAAAAAGTACGAATTGTTTTGGATTCTACGCACCAAAATTAATAAGAAAAAGTGTTTTCCCGAGAAATTTTGGTGCAGTCGATTTTTGGTAAAAAAGGAAGGTTATACACTGCCTTTTTTTGAGCCCGAAAAAAAAATTGTCTCAGATCGACCCGGAAAAAAATTTTCTTATAGAATGTGGCCTGTAGAATCCATAATTTCAAACAGTTCCAAGATTGGGCTTCTAGTTCAAAAGTTACAGCCCTTTGAATTTTCTTTCGAAATTGGTTTCTAGTCAGGGGCGGGCCAGGTGGAATTGCATAGGTTACGGGCCATTAAAGTATTAGTGTAGTAATGAAGGTGGCGGGGGGGTAGCTCTGCGGTACACCACAAAAACATTTTTTGCTTCATTTTAAGGTACTCCTTTTTCGGAAATCAATTACAATACAGTTTTTTTTTTAAATTGCAGCTGATAATTAAAAGTAACAAAATATACAATCCAAACGAGGTGCGTCGCCTATCATTGTATTTCAGCACTTTCATGCTACGACAAAAAATGATAAATTGATTGTAAAACACTTATACAATTAAAACAGAATTTTTTAATTTTTTAACAACCTAACATCATCCCCAATTAGAGAAACGTGTTAATAATTTATTAATAGTGCAAGAAACTAAATACAGCACATACTTATAAATTTCCAACGGGCCATTATGACGTACAGGCCAGGTGGCAATCGCCCCCCCCCCCGGGCCAGTCCGCCCCTGAGAGTATCCTATCTCTGTTCTGTTTTTTTATTCCAGTTTCAGTAAAAATCTGCAACTTTAGCTCTCGCATAATATTTCAGTTTTTTTCACAGGGGTTTTTATTCCAGGTTTTTTTTTGGTGGTTTTCTTTTCGTGGGTTTTTTTCATTCCTGTTTTCTAAAGCATACTATTTTCTTGGTGATATTAGGGTGTTATACTTTATGACAATAATTAACCGTAGGTATATTATTTAATCATTTTATCTATTAATTATGAAGATCTTCACATGGCAGAACCAGTGTATATATGTATACAATACAATAGCAGAACGTTTGATTTCAGCCAATTGAAATCCCATCTGTAATAGGAATTTTTTTTGTTTAATATTTATGTAAAAAACAGTTTTAAGCTGGCTCTGATTTCTGATTGATGACTGTGATTTTCATACTGGCTAGGTTTTTTGAAAACACGCTGTATAAATGTTTTACTTTTTTCACAGTGTCCCAATTAGCTTAAATATATGCAGTGCAACGCTTTCACTTAAAAATTTTTATCAAATTAACGGAGGCGGGAGGTGAAAGCGAATTGATAATGGGTGATATTGATAAGTGTAGCACTGCACGGCTCCATTCTTGTCAGCCTGCCTGTCACATAATTAAAATGAAAAATATAAACTAGATACGATAATCATTACATAACGTCGAACCGGTTATTCCATTGAACAGAAAAGCGCCAGTTACGTAATAGACGAGTATTTCACGCAACGCGCGCCACTGGTTTATATCAAATCATCTACCGCCCTCTGGTGTAAAATTTAGTGTTAAATGTGGGCTCGCCCGAACCGTACCTGTACTGAAAATTGTTAACAAATTTTAATTGTGTAGTTTTACAAATTGAGAATTAACGTGATATTTCCAAGGATTAGTGTTCTGAATGTTACGGATTACTTTTTGCGGCCGCTTCCGTTAGTTTTCATTCAAAAATGGGTAAGTTTAACCGGTGTTCGGCTCTCCTATCTTATACAGTTGCCTTAAATTACTTGCAAAATTTCGAAATAACCATTTTTTATGCACGATATCTAATCTTAACGTTTACTTTCGTGCTTAAGATTGTCAACTTTAGCTACGTAGGTTTGTACCTACCTCTTTTTTTCCTGTTTCATCCCCATTTGTACAGTATTAATTAGGTGTGGGTAACCCTAGTAACTTAATGTGGGTTGCAGTTAAATGTAATGAATTTGAGGGGTTTGATGGGAGTCCCCCTTTCGATTATTTTTAGACGTTATTAGTTAATTTTTGCATTGTCGAAACCTTGACCCGTTTGCAACAATATGACCTTTATTTGTGCGTATTATGCGACAGACAATTAATTTTATTAGGTTATTTTTACGTGCAGGTGGGTCCGAAAATCATTCATGGGTGTAGAATGGTCAGCGGGGAAAAAAGGGTCAATGCCCCACCTGTTAGGGAAGGACAGGATATCCAATCTTACATCACCCCTACCTGACGTAATCGATGTCAGATTTTATGGAGAGCGATCACCGTCTTCGCCGGTTTCACTTTCTTCGGAGATCGCTCTCTCGATGACCTTTAATCGCGCTTTCCTTTATACTTCCCCCGTCTTCCTGGTTGAAGGACCTTTGCATGAAAGGTATGAAAAGGTAGATGAAAAATCATTGAGGTCAAAGCGGTTACCTGTAACTAAAAGAATAATTTGTTTAACCGTACACCGCCGCCTGCTTACAAAATAAAGTCATCACTCCTTGCTGACCATCTAATTGCCATATTGTAAAAATAGAAATGACACGTGATTACATCATTGAGTATAATAAATATTTGTGTTTTTATTACGCTGTTGGAAACAGCTACATTTGCATTGAAAACTTGAACTTTAAGTTGCCCAGACATAAACAAACTCTCTTTGCATTGCTGACTGTTTCCTTTCCACTGCTCAACTACAAAACATCAATTTTTTTTACTCGTTATGCATTTTCTTGTGCTGCTGCAGTCCTGCAGTGCAGACATAACAAGTCGATAATTTAGTAGTAAGGTATTTGGTCTTCCACTCGGGTCTTTCGGGAGACATAGGCGTTGTGTATATTATGGTAAATGATTTACCGGCTTAGATTAGGATAGTAATCCATTTTGGGAGAAAAAGGGATGAACCGACAGGCAATCCATGACTCCAGGGCCCTCAAACTCAATCGCGTTTTTGACAACGAGGCTTTCCGCAGCCAATCCAAACAATACGACATGCAATCTTGAAAAATAAACCGCACGATATTAAGGACCTTTTTGTTGCGAGATTCATAAACTGCACACACGATTAAAATTTCAGTAAAACATATCCACACGTACAAAAAACAAAAAAAATTAATTCTGCGCATGCGCACATCTTATAACGTGTACGAGTTAGATGGAAAAACGTCCGTTTAACCGAATCGGTTTCGTACAACCGACCTGTTTCCGTAGACAAACAGAACTGAATCGAATGACCTTGAATTTGGCGCATGCGCGGTCTCAAGGTCAACGTAACGTTTGGACGAGACATGCACTGGTAATTTCAAAACTTTTCCAGAATATTTCGAAAACTGAGTGTGGGAGGAGGGTACTTATAAAGGGAAAATAAAACTTAACTCTGAATATACCAAGAACTGAGTGTAAAAGTTATGCCTCTGCCCACTGTTACGGTTATGTACGTAGATGGTGTCCGATTTTCGACACTTATGGAGTTCTGATTGAGTTCGTCAGTGTACCGGGTGTTCATTAAAGCTGGTAAGTGCCATATCCGAAGACGGGTGCTTCGTTACCACACGAGCATTTCATTGTATCATAGAAAACACACATTATCATATTGAATTATGAAATAAACATTGACTTGCGCAATAGGAAGCTATGCCGCAATTGTTAGTGCTCTCAAGAAAGTATCATAGGCACCATGCGTTTGTTTTGGTCAAACTTAAAATGGTAAAATCAAAATTTGAAAATATTCTCTCGGGGATTTAAAAGATGTCCATTTCTGAATGACCCTATGTTTTATTAGTTAAAAGAGATACTGAAAAATGTCTATTGCAAAAGTTTCTGCTTTATATACATAATTGTTGAATAATCTGCCGTTTTCAAAATGAGCACGGGGTCAAGTAAATAAATTATCGGACTTATCCTTGTTTTTATTTAAGAGGAACACCTTATATGTTTGAATTAAAAAGATACCTAGTATATTAAATTCTTTTCCAAAATATGGCACCTTAAAAAAGATTCAAAAAGGTTAAAAAAGAATTTAAAAACATGTTTTTGAACATCTTATGAATCAATAGGTAGTGATTTTTTTTAGTGTTACATTGCTGATAAGGGAATTTAATATGCTATCTCTTTAGAATAAAATATACAGGATGTTCCATTTACAAACTGGGATAGGTCCGATACATTTTTTACTTGACCACGTACACAGGGTGGTTCAAATTCGTTGCTCACCATTGGGATCTTCGTAACGGTGAAAAATACAATTGAAATTAAATAGGGAGAAAGTTGCCTCTTTCTGTGACTAAAAAAACGTGTTTGAAATTTTTGAAAAATAACATTTATTGTTTAAATGAAACACCCTGTATATTTGAATTAAAAAGATAGCATATTACTTTCTCTTTTGAAAAAATATTGCACATTAGGGAAACAGATTCAGAAGGGAATTTAAAAAATTGAAAAAAGGTATCACATGATTTAAAAAAATACAAAAAAATTGAAAATTGAATTTTTAAAAATTTTTTTTGTATCTTGCGAATATTTGCACCAATAGTGAATTTATTTAGTGTTATATTTGTGATAAGGGAATTTAATATGCTATATTTTTAGAATATATACAGGGTGTTCCATGTTCCGATCGAGGGAAAAATCACTAGAATTTTGGTGTCTACATTACTAGCATTTTGTAGTTTTCTAGAATTTTTTTCCGAACGCAAACGCACACACAATTATTATTTTATACAATTTTTAGAATTTTCTGGAATTATCTAGAATGTTTAGGAATTTATTTTAAAATGTTTGTGTACACAAATTTTATGTGGTTTTACCCTAAGGGGAAAATTGCTGTAGAATTTTGGTGTACACTACTAGCATTTGTCAGAATGTTCTAGATTTTTTTTAGAATTTTTGTAGAACTTCCTTGAAGTTTCTAGCATTTTTTCCGAACGTAAATGCACACGAATTTCTTAATTTTTTTAGAATGTTAGTGTACACAAATTTGCAGTGGGCAATTTTTTGATTTTCCGCCGTATCTTTCAAGCGAGCGAATATTTTCAAATTTTGATTTTACCATTTAAGGTTTACCCAAAAAGAGCACATGACACCTATATTACTTTCTTGATAGCACCAACATTTATAAAGACACCCTATAAAAGTGTCCCTGTACAAGATTGTAGAGAATTTCTCTGCCTTCATCCTTGTTGCAATTAATAACGTATATTTTTAATTGTATTTATTTTCACAAATTTCACAATTTTAAATCACACTCGGTTTGCCCAAATTACACCAGACTCTAAATTTACTAGGCTAGTAAACAAAACGACTCCTTTTCGTTGCTTTGCGCCATGTGTGTTTCCTGCCAATTGAAGAAGAATAGCAGATGTTAAATAAAACGCTATCACGCAATCTGATCATTAAATCTGCGGATCCAGTTCATTTTTGGACATCCCCTGGATATTTCTTATTATATAATATTTTAAAAGTTCACGTCAGGTATACCGGGGTGACGAAAAAAATTAGTAGATTCTTATTCTAAAAGGAGTAAGAAAGTAGCCCTAAATAGATCCTTGTGGCACTCCTAAGACCTGATCAACCAATGTTCCAGAATTGGGGAAGTGATCAAAATCGATTTTGAATGCTTTTCTAACCCTGGCTAAATCAAAAACAAGTAATTACCGTCGACCTTTACATAACGATATTGGGTGAAAATATATGAAAAATTCGCCGAGATTATGTAACCTTTTTTTAATATGTCACTCGACGTTAGTGTAATATGTTGGCGCATTGTAAACAAATCAAGGTTAACACCACTGACATAGATAATTATGTTTTTCTATCTCTATATTTATTTAAATATCCAACTTTCGATTTTAACGCATAATTAGTACCTTCGGGGTCGCCCCCATCCAAAATTTCGATGATTCATACGCTGAATTTTAGCAAAGTCCGTGTACACCTGGGGGGCCTTTTTAAAATAATCTAAAATTACATTGCGCGTGCAATGAACGGTCAGACATTTGACAATGTAAATTACATTCACCATCCCCCACCCCCTCCCGCTCTTTTTGGTCGGTATTTCGTAAGTGATTGTAGCATAAACTGGTTAGTCATACGTACATTTCCAGCTTGAGAGGAGTGTTTGCGTTGTAAGTTTTGTGACAGTATCGTGTTTGTGATTTGGTGCTCGTTTGGATCTGTTTTAAATTGCAGTCATTATTGAAGCTCAGTTGGAAATTACCCCAATTTATTTTGCTTACGTAAAAATGTTTTCTGTGACATAATTTTTAGTTGGCTATTTAAATCTCAAATTTGGATAAAATGAAGCAATTTTAGAGCGTTTCCTGCCTTGAACGGAACTACGGTTTAATTTATTTCAATTACCGGGACGATAAAGTAGTAGACGTTTCGTTCCGGTCTTGTGGATTTTTTTTTGTAGTTGAAAAAATTAGCATAAAAGTAAACCATGTTATGTTTTCTTGAAGTTGTTAAAGAATTGAGGAGTGTTTTGTGGTCGGTGTAAAGGCATAGATTTCGTAGGAGGAAACCGAACCCAAGGAAACCGCAATTTCCGGACAGTTTTTGCAAATTAGAGCATTGATTTTAACGGTTTTGTGTATTACAACTCTAATTTTTTAATAATAACGTATACATTCCTATAGGCACATTGACCACATTGTCATTGGTGCTTCACATGATTTGTTTACGATGTTTTGGGAACACCCATGTTTATGTCACCATCTATTATAATG